GGTATCTCAACAGACTCTAATACAATTCCATTTCGATTACAATCGTAATTAACCAGTCTTTCAATTGCCAGCAAAATGTATACATAAAAGGACGCCAGATTATTTAGTTTTGTTCTCTCGTGAAGTTAATGTAATATAAAAATATTTCAACGCACGACTTTAATAATCCGCAAACTGGAGATGAAAATTAATGTCTCCCTAATTTTTTATCGCTCCTCGAACTTGTTTTTTTTCTCTTCCGTAGAATTCCTCGTTCTTGCTTTTTGTTGATCAATATTTTTCATTCTCCGTGAATCGTCTACTCGATACAATATCTCACAGAGAGACCCGATATTCCATACGTGGTTGAAATAGGGTTGGCCTACTTATCCAATTTTTCTGTGTTCTAACATTTGAAGTACACAACTCAAATACTTCGAGATTTGAAATATATTTACTGATCAACTATCCAGATTTTCGTACTACATATTTGAACAGTATTTCTCGTTTCTCCCAAATTTTTTCATTTATAATATTATTTTTTTTATAAAAGTTTGAAAGTCTTTTACACGTGTACAAAAATTTTATCAAAATATCGCTAAAAAAACACGATCGTATCTCCAGGATTTTCATTCTGACAGCACAATCCTGCCTGCGATAAATTTTAGTAATAACGAGTACCGAAACAAATTGTTTCAAAAATAAAATAGCGTTTCGCGTTGGACTCGACAAGAAAATTAATTTATACTTTAGTTAATTTTTAAAACAACTTGTTTCGAAGTTTCAAAACCCGGAACTCGTTATTATTAAAACGTATCGTTACTACGATTGTGCCTCCGCAATGGAAAATTCTGATTTCAAACACTGAAATAAATATTCAAATGTTCCTTTGTTTACGACATACGGTCCGTCCTATGAATATTGAAATGGCTGTTTTTAAAATGTTCCAAAGTACGTTTTGTTAACATTTTGACTGTCACATCACCCATATACAGGGTGTTCGGCCACCTCTGGGGAAAATTTTAACGGAAGATTCTAGAGGCCAAAATAAGACGAAAATCAAAAATATCAATTTCTTGACTGAGGCTTCGTTAAAAAGTTATTAAAAAATTAAATTAAAAAATTTCAAATCATTTTGAAAAAATTATTATTGATTGCGCGGCTCAATTACAATCATTTTTTGGTGAATACACATACCCTTGAAATCCTACCCACTTTCGAGAACAAAATTCAAATAGGTACTGAAATTTATAGACGAAATTCAAAAATTTCAAATCATACTAAAAAAATTATATTTAGTTACAGGGGTCAATTACAAGCATTTTTGATAAATAGACATACCCCTATAAGATAATAATAAAGATATAAATATTTACATATCAGTCTGGGAAACCAACATGGCCGCCATGACGATTGAAAGTTGTATCGTTCTTAAAAAACCCATGAGAATTTAACATCTGTATTAAAACTATAATTTCTGATTTAAATAAAGCGAATTTTTTGGCCAAAGGGTCAGTTTCAATGTGTCTTCATTTCTTAAATAATCTAAATCTTTTTAAAATCCTTGTTAATGATCCTTGACCTCGTAAAATGAGGAAAACGTAAAACATAAAAATGGTTCAATTTTCAAACAGCCATAACTCCTACAATAGTGAATATATTTCAATGAAACTTTTTTCTGAAGTAGAGCTCATAGGTACCTACAAAAAGGTATTAGACAACTTTTCTGTAGAGCGTCAAACAAATTTATTAAAAATGAAACACGAAATTTTGAAGAAAAATCGACGTGGGGTAGGTGCCTAAATTTTTAGGCGCAAAAAAAATTTCAAATCGTTCTGGAAAAATTATTTTCGGATGCAGAGATCAATTACAATAATTTTTGGGTGAATAGATCTACCTCGAGATCCTACCCATTTTTTAGAAAAAAATTTAGTACCGGCGGAACTTTAAACATTAATAACTTTTTAACGAAGCCTCCATCAACAAATTAGTATTCTTGATTTTCGTCTTATTTTGGCCTCTAGAATCTCATATTAAAATTTTTTTAATTACGATGCTAGAAAAATTAATTCTCAAGTTGGGACGTCGAGGGAAATAAATTTGGATAGAATTTGTGGATTTTAACAAGGTTAGGAAAATAAGTACCGAAACAAATTTTAGGTTATGTAGCTTACAATGGTCTAAAATCAAAATTTTACTTTTGTAGAATATTATGTGGTTTTGATCTGGCAGTGAACGTGTTAAAAGGTAGCTACTCGTGTATCTAAAAGAGCACACAAAGACACAAGGAACCTGTGAATTCTAATCGAAAATCATTCGAGCATATGTTTCGTCAAGGTCCTACGCGTTTAAATCATTTATGCGTGCAGCTTGAGACGCAACATGCCATAATCGGATTAATCTAATCGGATTAGTTTCTCCTACGTAGTCGTACTTATCCTTCAGCGATCCGACGTTTGCTAGGAAACTGAAACATCCTCTTCGAACTAACGTATAATTTCCCAGAAAACCCGAGGAACGAGCCACAACAACGCCTCTCCGACTCTACTTTCCATCGTTTATACTAATAACAAACAATAATAATTTAAGCTAATTTGCTTGGAATTGTAGTTAGAAATTCGAGTATCTTATAAATTCCTATTTACTTTGGTCGAATAATAAACACTTCGTACGAACTCTACGCTTCGTTTTCGAGACGATCGAATCCAAATATGTACATCGAGAAACGCTCGAGCTTTAATTTCGTTTCGTTGCGACAACGTTTCGACGATTTTTAACGAAGTTACGAATCCTCGAAGTTTGACGAGTCCGTCTGTAGTATTCGAGTGTCGTGATTTCGGACGAGATTAGTATAAAATCTGCCATTGTCGGAAACTTTCAAAACGAATACAGTCGTCTGACAATAGCAGTCTGGAGAATCCGAGGAAAGAAACGCAATTAATTCGGGACGAAGTTTCCGAGGAGATTTTATAAGACGGAACCCCGACAGACGAGACTCCGGTCGTTGGATTTAATCTCTTCCGATTTCTTAGCACAGGGCTCTATCGAATCCGATGTTTACCAGATCAACTAGTGTTGAAAAATTACGAGGTTAGAACACATGGCGTTCGAACATTTCTTTTTAACGCGTATGGAATCGTATCAAATAAATAGTAAAACATCCTTTTGACAGCAAAACGCAGTAATTAATGTAAAGTTAGTTTACTTGGCATAGAAATATATAATAGAAAGAAATACGTACGATGTAAACAACGCAACACGCATGCCTTACCGTATTCCGTACAAAACTAACCTATAATACAACTAAGTTGCATGCATTGACTCATAGAGGCGCTTATGTCTATCATCCGTTAATACCTTTTGTATTTATATTTTATGTGGACCTTTATTTTTTGATCACTGTCTCAATTAAGTACGATATAACGTAAGTTAAATATATGAATGCAAGTCAATCGGACTAAAAATTAATTTATTCTCGTAAATGATACGTTCACCGACATAGCTTAACTAAAATTACTGCACATGTGACTTAGCCACTCCGGACTGAATAGAACTGATCAAAGTCGGGATTTACAACCGCGGCTTTCCGGGAATTCCCACACACGTGCGCCGGAACGTTTCAAAGGGAACATTATGTCGCGTATTCAATGCATTGATGCGCGAATACAGATAAACTTAGAACATTTTCCCGCTGACCGTTCGGTGCTCGGTGCGAATATACCGTTGGCTAAAAATATTTAGCGCAAACGTTACCGGTAACGCGAAACATTGTTCTTGAGAGACTTGGCAAACCTAATTGTATATTTATACGTTCAATTGTGATATATAATACAGTATTGCTACGATATTACGTATCGTAATATTACGAGCACCATGTGAAGTGCCAACTTCGCGTTCGAAGCGGCAAAGGTCACGAAAGGAAGAATTAAATATCGATGACTGGCTGATGGATTCGAATTAGAATTCGACAGACACGTAACGTAGAATGTTTTTAGATTTATTTGCAAATAACGAATAACATCGATTGTTGTTTTTGAATATAGGGTCAAGGGTTAGGTTCTCCAGTTGCTTCATAACTTCGAAGATATATATCATCGCAGATGTAAAAGTCATCGTTACCTATTCCACGGACTTCATGGGCAATAACGAAGGGACCACCATAAAACCATCCCCAACGGTTGCGAATAAATCAGGGTGGATCACGTAAATGGGACCATTTAAATATCTTCGTTATTTATGGTCGTGTAAAAATGAAATGTAACGGCAGAAAAATTGTTTCTCAATATCCACGAATATGAATGTAAAATAAGGTAGATTTAGGATTATAAAAAATAAATGGAAAAAGTATTTGTTATTTTTCGTAACTTTGATGGAGGAAGAAAACACGATACGCCAACAAAATATCATGTAGCAGCTGCTACCAAGAGTTAGTTTAGTGACTAATGAATAGAACTTTCGTGGCGAAGTTCGTGTCTTAATCAAACGGAGAACCTTTCGACAATACTGGCGCGACAAGTTTGACAACTAACGAGAAGGAACCGAAACGCAGAATCCATACAGCACGGGAAAATGTTCCTCCAGACGTTATAAACAATTTAATTAATGGATATAATTAATCTGAAATACTCTTATTTTTAAATAGCAATCTTTCTACTATTCGTTGAACGAAAGTGAAAATTTAAGGTACAGAATGGAGTATTTCACGAATTACAATTTGCACGAATAAATTGGTGTACGTTGGTCTTATTGGATACCTATTAATCGAATATTGCTCGTCTCTGTTCGCTACTATACACAGTCAGGTCCGACAGGGTTAATCTATCATGACAATGTAATTATAATTTACGTGTTGCAGGCAGTGAAGACGAACCTAACAAAGACACGTTCAGGGAAACCCATAAGGTCCTTGCTCGAGAAAAATAAAAATGAGATACAAGAACGTTTTAACTGAATTAACGGACGATCGATGTAAAAAATCGTTTGTAAAAGATTGAAACTGAGAACAAGAAACCTCCGTTTACCTAGGTATTAGTTTGTCCTCGAGCATGCTGGGTAGATCGTCGGAATCCTCGTTGAGTGCTGCGAAGAAGTCTTGGAACTTGTCGGGGAAGCTGCTAGGCGGGCAGCTGTTCATGGAAACCCGATCAACGTGCTCGGTGGAATTTTTCTCGACGGCTTCATCGTGCCCCGAGAGGGCTGACGTTTCCATACAGCACGCCTATTCCGTGAATTCACGCCGGAAACCGTTCTAACCACTCGAGGACTCGTTTCGCGTAAACTTTTCCGTAGGTAAGCCTTCACGACCCATTCGAACAACCGTGCGTCCTCTTCGACCACAGAAACTCGAGAATCTATCACAAGCCTCGAAAACCAAATCGAAACAACATTGATCGAGTTCCTAGATAAGAGATAAGAGATCACTAGCCTCGAAGACAGTTGATATTTAATCGTCACCGTTTATTAATTCTTTTATCTTTCGACTATCGTTTTAAATACTGTTTCTTTTCTTTTGTTAGCGTTCGAAGCATCGAGAGACGCGAAACGATCGACGGGGATCGCGCGATCGAGCCACACAGCTGGGCGTCACACGTGGATCGACGACGAATCCATAGGCGGCTTTTTTTATATTGTTTTCAGTGAGTCACATGCCGAGGCACAGTTAGTCATGTCGCGTGAAAAATAGAAGACCGTCCGGTTGCGACGCGTACGATGATCGAAACGCTCTGGCAAGGTTGAACCGGGACCGTCGATCGCTTTTTTCCCCGACGAGACCCTGGTGAAAACTGAGGCTAGCATGGTTGTTGCACGTCGCTCCGGCTCCGCTAAGTACGCGTGGCTATGCGCAAGCGTATAACTCACCCCGAAAGCTACCCCAAATCGGCGGATACGCGATAACACGGTGAAAGTGACCACCCCCGTTCTGCTTCGCGACTATCTTTCGCATCCGTTTCCGCCGCGATTGTCGCGCGTATCCTCGATCAAAACAAGGCTCGGACCTTATATACGCCGTCAATTGTTCAACCCTCCTATCGTGCTCTATTTAAAATAGAATTTTTAAATAATTCTCGGTTCATTATTTTGAAAATTAAACAGATAAGAAACTGTCACTTCCAAATTATAGTCTCGTTTAACACTAAGATAATTAATTCTCGAAGCTGATCTATGAATTTTGAGACTCGAAGATAAGTATTAAATTTTAATTTACGCAGTTTATAAATTGTGTAAAATTTTGCGAACTTCAAAACTATTTTCCAGAGAAGAGAAATACGCAGGATTATTATATAATTACATTTAAATATTGCAATATTTGATTTAAGAACACCCCGATCCAGTCCAGATTGTGTTTCTCGAACTTTGTTGGCTCGCGATTCCTTTCTGAGTTTTATTTATCGCCGTGGCCTTCGCTTCGACGGCTGTTCGCGGGTAAAAATATACCAATTGTTCATTCGTGTATGCAACATTGCGTAACAAAGGTACTACGAAATTTGGGAGGCGATAGAATAATATAAAACGTGTAAATACGAAAAATAAATAAGGTATCAAATATTATGTTGCAGTATTGGCACCGTCGAGTGGAATTTTTGGCGTCAAACTAGCCAACGTTTGAATATATGATTGTGTGGCGCTATTAATAACAAACAGAGACATTAATAATCTCTTGTATGATTTAATCATAGGTATTGGATTGGTAGCAATCCAATCCTCGCAATAGTGGTTGTAAAACGTTAGAAATTTTATAAATGCTAATTTAGGGAGCTTTTAAAGTTGCAAGTTCCAAGATTCTCTGGTATTTACGCGGTATGCAAATTGCACGGATGCGTTCCTTTTAATGTCTGAGACGACTCTTGACGTTAAAAGGCTGCGAAGATTTTAAAATCCAAAGCTAAACTATCCGTGGCTGAAATCTTTCCCCGAGACAGCCATGGAGCGTTAAACGCGAAGGCGTTGGTAAATGGAAAATGCTTCGTAGGGCGTTTGCATAAAGAGTCTCTTGTTCGAAGAAACTATTCTGTAGTCAAAGTTCCATTTCGCGGTGTGTGGGCTCACGATGCTTCAATTGTCGTTGAGAATGGTACAATAGGACTCTTTCCCCCAGGGAAAAAGGCTGGCATTTTTCAACCTCTTCCGAGTCTCCAAATATATCGTTCTTTTGGGACCTGTATCCCTTCAAATGAAATTTAAGTTTTCACAGGATGATATTGGTCGTCAATCTCAGGAAATAAATTCTTATTCACGTGAAATATCGAATATATTAATCTACGAAAATTCACAGACGTTCATTGATATTCGAGTAACTTTCCATTATAAATTCACGAGAATAGCCATTATTTCATTACATCGAAGCGTAAAAACCCTCCTGAAGGAAGCATTCTGTAGTATCTGGCTTTCTCGACTTGTTTTTCATTTCCGGTATTTGGAACAGAGGGATTTAAATGTCTTGGGAATTCCCAGGACAACATTCCCAGCAAAACAATAAATTTTGTATATTTGATTCGATACGAAAGCATCGAAATAAAAAATGCTATTATTATAAATCAGATATTCTGTGTTCACTAGCCACATGATATGTCTAAAATAACACTACTAATACTGTATTATATTCGTAGTAAGCGACTAATTGTTATAGAAACGAAGCTGTTTTACGAATTGAAAGGAAATCTAGTCTCAATATTTTCAAGCAATTCTTTTGAAACCAGTGATCTTACAATTCAAAAGAGGACCCCGCAAAGATCTTATGAAAAATGGCCCCCGGTTAAATTAACGGAACATTTGATATGATGTAGTTCATGTCTTGATGAAAAGTTCCAATGAGCCCAAGTTCGTAAATTGAACAGTTTCCGAGATACGGGGGATCAAAAATCAATACTAGTGCGCCTTATTCTAGACTACCACGTTTGAGCATATTTCAGTGTAAGAAGCACTGTTGTGATCCTGTGAGCCCTTCAATATTACCACTTGACCCCCTGAACCTATGAATCCCCTTCAGGACTCAATAAAAAAACGCCAAAAAGGTAAAATATGGTTCTTTTTTTCATTGTATAAACATGAAGCACCGTCGACATTAGCATTACCCAGTGTGCGCCACGAGAAGGTTGATCGGTCGGATTTTGCACACCATGTGGCCCTGAAGAGGACCGTTTTTATAGTTCTCTCTATTCGACCATAAGAATCTCAACATTCATATTGTCTTGATGATCTCTATTAGCGGCATTTCTGGTCGTATTTAGAAGATTGCCATCCGAATATTTGGCATGCCTTTGATGACGAGCAAATCCAAAAAACCTTAAAACACTTGCAATATGTGCACATGTACCCAATGTTTTGGCACCGAATTGACAGATACAGTAGTAACCATTTATTACTTCCTCTTCTAGTTCCAGTTCATTTTTGGGAATGTGAAAAATAAGATCTTGATGTTTAGTACGATTCCGAAATCGTGAATAAACTTTTAGTCTTCTGAGGCTGTTATCTACCAACGAAGTGTCAATCTGCGCTAATAGAGGGCATCAAGACAATATGAATGTTAAGATTGTTATGGACAAATAGAGAGAACTATAGAAACGGCCCTTTTCAGGGCCACATGGTGTACAAAATCCGATCGAGCAACCTCCTCGTGGTGCACACTGGGTAATGCTAATGTCGACGGTGCTTCATGTTTGTACAATGAAAAAGAGAATCATTTTTTACCTTTTTGACGATTTTTTATTTTGACTCTTGAAGGAGAGTCAGAGGGTCAGGGGGTCAATGTGCAATATTTAAGGGCCCACAGGGCCACAACAGTGCTTCTTACACTGAAATATGCTCAAACGTGGTAGTCTAGAATAAGGCACACTATTATTGACGTTTGATCCCCCGTATCTCGGAAGCTGTTTAATTTACGAGCTTGGGCTCATTGGAACTTTTCATCAAGACATCATGAGCTACATCATATCAAAAGTTCAGCTAATTTAACCGGGGGCCATTTTCCATAATATCTGTGCGGGGTCTTTTCTGCGAGAATGAGGGAGAACAGCGTATCGTTTTCCGCATTGCTATATTTATCCGTTTATCCCTATTAAGACATCGTAAATTTCGTTGTTTGTTGAACACAGCGAGACACCGCAAATGCGTCAGTTATAAGCCACCAGCGAATTATAAATGGTCCTTTCGTCGTCGAGGGAATTCAATCGCGTGAAAAGAAAACTGCCAGAGACGTCGACGTTGAAGATAAATCGCGAATCCATAATAATCGCAGGCTTACTTTACCCTTTTTCGTTTATATACCGTCAGTTCAAATTTCATTTAATATTATGTTAATTGAAGACAATCATTCGAAGCCAAAAATCTTGCGTGCACGGTAACCATAATAGAAAAACGAATTATAAATCGTGGATGGGGTTTCGAAAAAAATTTGTTCTCCATCACGATACTTTGCTTCCGTATAGTTCGAACGATAAAGATACAAATTGGAAAGAAATGACGGGAAGGTAAATATTTATCACTATATCGTCGGTGACAGTAACTGCGACGTTTTCGTGACACGTGTGCTGTTCCAAACATATTTTCCGTGTTCACGTACATGGAGATATCTCAATGCCAAGAATAACTGCGCAACGATGATAGTATGTACTCTATCGTTCCTTTATATTCCTATTTCAATGATCGAGTTAAAATAAATATTCCCGGCGATACTTGAGTCGTTTAATTTATTCGACCGTACTCAATGAAGTCCAAGGGCAGAGGAGGGCAGAAAGCTGGCAAATTATAAATTTCAATAGGTAACGTTGCTTTTTGAAAGCGCAACGCTGTTTCTCATCAGTGTCTCATTCACGTTATAATTTAATTTCATTAGCGAGGAGACGTTCACGTTCGTTTCAGTTCCAACGGGATTTCTAAACAGTCAAAGGAAATACAGTGACTCAAACAATTGATCAAATGTTTAATTTTGTTTAAATTTTTATTTAATTGAACACATGTTAATAAGATATGTAACAAAATATTTTATTATAATTACATACATAGTTTTCATAGTTCATATAATACAGAATTAACTTAAATATGTTACACTTTTTAAAAAAAAATTAAATAACATTAACAAATGATGTAATGATCAAATTTTTGAGTTTGAAAAAATGAAATATCAGTACTTCGTATACCCTCCTTTCGCTTTCAATACGGCTTCTATGCGTCTTGGCATACTATCTACTAAACTTTTACACTGTTTAGCCTTAATATTTTCCCAAGCAGTTTTAACTTCAGACCACAATTCAATAATACTTCTTGAATTGTGATCGAAGTTGGCAACTGTTCTTTTTAGTAAACCCCATAGGTGTTCTATTGGGTTCAGATCAGGAGACTGTGGGGGCCAGTCTAAAACAGTAAAACCATGAGCTGTTAACCATTCTTTGGTGATTTTTGCCGTGTGTTTAGGGTCATTATCGTGCTGAAAAATGACTTCTTCTGCGTTCTTATTCCATTTTTCCAAACTTCCAATTAAACTTTTCTGCAGGATGGATGTGTATGATGTTGCAGTCATTCGACCTTCAATTTTTTCAACGCATCCGACGCCCTCACTGGTCATACAACCCCAAACCATGATATGGCCTCCTCCAAATATCAGTGTAGGATGAACGTGATGCGACCGTATTTGTTCTTTATTTCCTCGCCATGTCCATTCCCGTCCATCGCACCCAAAACGATTAATTTTCGTCTCGTCTAACCATATTACTCGTGCCCAATCGAGATCTGTATAATTTTTATATTTTTCGGCAAACTGCAGTCGAAGCTTCTTATGCCGCTTTGTAAGAAAAGGTTTCTTTATTTTTGCACGTCCTCTTAAATTCACTTCTCGCAGTGCATTACGCACTGTTTCAGCGTTTACGTTAATATTATGGTGTGTGACTAAATTTTTTTGCATCTGTACAGCATTATCAACGCTACCATTACGGATTGATCGTATGATTAATCGCTTTGTGGTAGTGGATAACTTTGATTTTCGTCCTGCTTTATTTTTTAGTACGTTTTCTTTTAAAGTTTTACGTACTGATGACACAGTACCAACAGAGCACAGTACCTTCTTAGAAATCTCGCGATGAGAAAGCCCAGATATTAATAGTATTTTAATTTCTGATATTTTACTTGCTTTTATTGGTCTCAATATGAAATATGACTAAAAATATTTTTCTTACTAATTATTTTATTACAAACGTATTCTCAAATGTTTAAAAATAACGTTATGACTTACCAGTAATTATATTTGTGCTAAGGAATGCCAAAAATATAAGAATTTTGCACAATTAAGCTTAACACAAATAATTGATCAAATAATGCACAGAATATAATTCGTAATACACGTCCGCTTTGTACGATTACAGGGCTCAAACTGTCGTGAAGTAACGACGCAATGTTTACATTTTTCGTATATATGTATATCAACAGTCTTAAGCAAGATTCTGAGAAAGGTGTACTGTGACTTATTTTCTGTTTGTTCGAACATTTGATCAATTGTTTGTGTCACTGTATATCTGAAAGCTATTATGCAATGCTTACGTTTAGCTTCGAGTATAAAGCGAGCCAAAATTTATAGTATAATCGTGAAATGAGCGATCTTTCGCGTAAATGAAACGTGGAACGTTTTTGAAAAAAATAGAATAGATACATTCTTCGAAAGTTGTGAATACAACGTGTCTGTCCACAACTCATTGTTTCTACTCGTATTCAAGTTTGTAAACATAGTACTATATTACTATGTTCTGATTAATCAGAACTAATGAAAACGGTTTATATTGCATTACTGTCAGTATTTTCAACCTATAACACATCGTGTCTAACAAAGAGAGACGTCAGTTAAAAAATATTCAATGCAGCACGCGTCCCACGAATTTTGAAAATCAATTTTCGCGGTAACAAAGCCGCCTATGAAAACAATTTTACTCTACATTTTAGATTTATTTTCACACGAATGATTTTTCAGGATTCTACGATGAATTTTTGGCCTGTACCATAGATGAAGTTACCTGCAATAGCTTGTGAAAATGACAAATTCTTTTACGGTATTTGAATTGGTCGCCATATGGTCTGATGCGACAAATAACGATTACGGATAAGGGATAACAATAATTTCAATAATCTAGCTCTACGAGTAAGATAAAATTCCGCGGAAAAATGGTTGCATGATAAATCGCCGCGTTATCATCCACATGATTACATTTCTAAAAAATACTTTTTCTCTAGTCGATTGTAAATATGTATGTACTTTGTTCTTGTTATTGAATCTAGATTGCATTTAAATAATTTACAATTTAACGATCCTGTTTCTTCGACTCAGAAATATTTACAGAACGTATAAATATCTTCGGAATAAAATAAATTTTGGTAAATTTGCTACATGAAACAGATGAGATGAGATTAGATAAATTTGGACGCATGATCAATCGTATGTTGATTATTAAACGCAAAGTGTCGTGAATGATTGGTGAGCTGTCACCGAGCGCGTGGTACTGCATTGATTAATACGAAATGATGATTTGAAATACAATAAAACAAATGATACAGGAAAACTTAGATAAAGGATGTCGTTGAACATACTTGACTTTGTTAAGTATTAATAATACAAGAAAAATATACTGCAATAATATATTAATATAAAGAAACCTTCAAGTTATCCATGTATCTTCCTACATTAATAATTTTCTCGTCTCCTCATGGATCTTAAGATGCCCGCCATTTTGGAGAACGTTGTTTTAAAGCCTACAAAAATTACTAGGCGCGAATAAATTATATCCTGACGATTATTAAACGTAATATCCACTTGGAATGCTGTATTATTTGCACTACAGATATTTACAGATAATATAGAATATTAATTTGCGCGATCACGTTTATTTAACCTCGCACGTTCGCTTTCGCCATTCATTTGGATAACCGCGAACCCACAGGCACGCTACATTCGTAGTCATTTTACGTAATACAGTGCATATTCCCAACTGTATAGAATATTTTATACATTGCATCACGGATTGCTATACATTTGATTTCTCTATAGAATGTGTTAATCTAATACCATCGTTACAGAATGTAAAATAAAAATAATCATCCAGCTCTTTCGGACCAAAGATCAGTCTCCATTTTATAACTTGAAAGTTTCACGGTGGATCCCAAAAGTTACTCTCTCCCAAACTCGAATAAACTCTATTTACAAATAATGCAGGGCCCCAGAAAATTGTCCAAATCGTCCAATTCGTCTCGTCGAAAGAAAGATTGCACATTGGTTGCGTGTCGTGACCTTATTTGACACCGATCGGCAGCAATCAGTCAACGGAAGAAAGAGATTTCCTACGAGAGGGGGGAGGGGAAAGGGTGGAAAATAAACGATCCGAGAAGACGGAGGGATGATCCAACGATGAGATTGACCTCGAGGATCGGGAGAAGGACGCGTTCGACGATCGATCGGTTCGTGCCCCGAGGTCCAGAAACGTTCACGGAAGTGAAATAAAATTCCTCGCGATGCGGGCGACCGCCCCGAGCGTAATGGAGGCCGCCCCTGATCAGAACGCGATAACGAAAGCGGCCGTGCGTCGTTCCCGATTAGGCCTCGTGATTAATCAAGGATCGCGGCGACTCGACACCGGCGAATTAATTTCTCAACGGTGAAAGAGTTGCACGGGAAGTGAAAACGACCGCTACACGTGCATACAGTGTGTCTTGTTTCGATCAGTTCACTCTTTAGTGGACTACCGTTTTCGAAAGAAAATTTTTGCTAAATAAATGTTCTTTATTTCCACAAGATAATTGATATTCGATTGGTAATAGATTTGTTTCGATTAGTACTGGAGACTGTAGATCTTTATGCAAATTCATATTTTCATTAATGAGATGGGAGCTTTGTAGAGGGTTGTTTCAACCCCTAAATATAATAGTTCGTATCCTACGTATTTCTTATATTTTTTGAGAATTAAAATTTCCCATCTAATTATTACTAAATGCGTAACATTTCTATTTGGTAAAACATTCGTTCCAAAGCATCCACTCTTCTCGATTTTGTTATTTCCACGAGTAGGTACGAGTCCTTGGAGTCGAGTTCTGTCTTCGCGTGACTTACTTAGTTGCAACATCTGGGAATCGCTTAAGAAAGACGACGAAGCATCGAAGAGTGCCCGAGACCTTTTATCGTTACTCCTGGCATTGTTTGTTGCAGTTCGACCACCTGCTGCTCCAGAATCTAGCCTGCAAGAGTTCGTTGCAACTCGTAAACATCCTGTGTTTATTACCACGACTCCATAACCGGTGCCCGCTTAAAGGTCTAAGCGGGGTTATTTACTTCGATATTCCCATATTCAAGTTTTTTTATCAGCGAACGACAGTCACGTGAATTTACGTTATTGCTTTCGAGCGCTAAATTCATCCAGTGTTCCAACTTTTGAGGAAAGGGTTTTCCGAACAAGGTTACTGGGAAAATAATGTTTATCGATAAAATCCTCTACCTTCGAGGTGGAATTTTCGAAGAATTCGAAGGGAGCTTTCTCTCCAATTCGCTGACAGACTCTGTGGAATTCTTGCCTGTATTTCCAGGCGAGAGAGATCTAAGAGAATGATTCTGAAACGGCACAATGGAAATCGATGAAAGCGAGGAGTAAAAGTAAGCCTTGATATTATTATGGGCATACACGAGTTTCGCGCGGAATCTCCTGGCAATTTAGCGAATCTTGTAACGTTATCAGCGTACGTGTTGTCACGTTCGTTTATATTTCGCAGTACATTAACTAGAAACTAGGCAAATAAGTGTAATATCGTAATAAACTAGTCACACGACGACGATAAAATTTGTTTATGATTCGAATCGTTCATACGAGGGCGGTCCGTTAAGTACTTAGCCTACAAAAGAAAAACGAAAATTTTGGAAAAGTGGCGATTTATTTATCTACATAGTCTCCTTTCAGCTCGATACACTTGACCCAGCGATGCTCCAACTTCTTTAACCCGTCTGAAAAATACGTTTTCTGGAGGTCTGCAAAGTAGGCCTCCGTGGCGGCGATAACCTCCTCATTCGACTCAAATTTCTGCCCAGCGAGTGACTTTTTCAAATTTGGAAACAAAAAGAAGTAGCACGAGGCCAAATCTGGAGAATACGATGGATGGGGCAGCAGTTCGTAGCCTAATTCGACCAATTTGGCCTTGGCGACGGCGGAGGTGTGAGCCGGTGCGTTGTCATGGTGGAAGAGCACTTTTTTCTTCGCCAAATGGGGCCGTTATTTCTGCAATTCGGCGTCGAATCGGCCCAATAATCCGGCATAGTAGAGCCCTGTGATCGTTTTGCCCTTGACCAGGTAGTCGATGTAGATCACACCTTTTGAATTCCAAAAAACGGTGGCCATCACCTTTCCGGCCGATAGGACAGTCCTCGCCTTCTTCGGAGCACATTCGCCGGGCGAAGTCCACTGTTTCGACTGTTCCTTGGTCTCTGGTGTGTACCAGTGGATCCATGTTTCATCGACGGTCACGAAACAACGCAGAAACTCCTTCGGATTGCGCCTAAACAGCATCAAACACTGCTCTGAAATGGTCTCACGGTTGCGCTTGTTGTCCGGAGTAAGCAAACGCGGCACTCATCGCGCCGACAGCTTTCTCATGCCCAATATTTCATGCAGGATATGACCCACGCGGTCTTTTGAGATGCCTACTGTCTCAGCTATCTCGCGCACCTTCAATCGGCGGTCTGCCAATACGAGATCGTGAATTTTTTTCACGTTATCCTCCGTGGTAGCCGTTTTCGGGACACCTGGACGTGGCTCATCAAAAACTGACGTGCGACCACGTTGAAACTCGTTAAACCAATTTTTGACGGTCGCCATCGAAGGAGAACAGTCACCGTACACAGCATCCAAGCGCTCTTTGATTTCGCTGCGCGATTTCCTTTCCAAAAACAAGAATCGAATCACCGACCGATATTGCTCTTTTTCTATTTTTCTAAAATACGCGGACACACCCGCTTCCACACGCGGTCAAAACAAAACTACGAGTCCGATTCGGCTGAAATTTTGACAGAAGCTGTCTACAAGAATGTACTACACGGTAGTAAATTTCTCTTGCGATCGTGGCGACCATCGGGTGGTGAGGCTAAGTACTTATCGGACCGCCCTCGTAAAAGTAACAAAAATCAAGCCACCCTGTTTCGTATTAAATTGTTCGAACAGTTTCCCCTTCGAAACGGAACGACAGAAATTTCTTTTATTATATTTCACTACCCGACAATCTATTTCACGGAGAATAAAATCGATTGGAGAAACATGTGTAATACGCTCCGAAGTAAATTTAATACTCGAGAATTTAATGCTTCGCCGAACGTTTGTAGGAACAAGGGTGAAGCATTCTATTCTTTATTTTACTATTTCCTACCCTTCGCTGCAATCTATACGAAATACGAGATTTTCTGTGGAGAGCAGAAGCAGCGATTCTGATCTTTACGTAAAACTTTCTCTTCTCTTCTTCGAAGGGTGGATATTTTTCAGATCCAAGTATGACTAAAGGTACTAAAAGACACCGAGGGCCCTGGCGTTTTCAGACGAAAACGTTTACTATTGTTCGACGTAGGTGACTCTGTTTAAATTAATTCAAAAATTATCTTAAACATTGTTCATACTTTTAACAGTATTTCAAATAATAAAATTGTAACTTAGGGGTTGTTGTACGCATCGTTGATAATTTATAAATTAACTGTAATAAATTTTGATAGTTTAATTTTAAATTAAATTTTTTTGAGTCCTCTCCAGGTACTAAAAGACTCAGTGTCTGACACTATCCACGTGTTCTCTACATTTAACCAATATTCTGTCGTCTTCTAAGTGTTACAAAAAGTTTATCGATCATTGAGGGTTAAACGATATCCTTATCATCGATCTTTCGTTCGTGGTAGATTCGGTTTCGCGATTCCCTGTCCAAAAGAACTGTGTCAAATGTTTCGGTTCTCCGTTGCATCCGTAAATCGAGCTCACCGGCGGCTGACAACCGCCAGCTTTGTGTCAGCATCGTCGAGTGAAGCCGGATAAAAAGGGTTGACAACGAGGCGAGGAACGCAGGAGGATTTACAAGAGACGCAAGGAGGAAGCGGGCCGAAGACCTATTCATAGATCAGTAGCCCTTTCGAGAGTTCAATGAGAGAGGGAGGCACGCTTTACAAGACAATGCTACTATCTTTAGACGTTACTTAAGCCGTCGAAAGAGAAACCCGTGTCAGCGACACCTTTCTCGATCGAGATAATCAGAGGATCGTAACCTATCAGAACAAACGATTCCTTTCGTTAATTAAAATCACCGGCCATCGACAATTATTGTTCGAGAAGGGAACGGTTCGTGCAACAAAATTAATCCTAGAAAGACCCTAAAGTACAGAGAAATCGTTGCGTCAAAGACCAATAGAAGGGGAGCTCGTCAAAGCCCACGTGGATATTTATAGACTGGAAAATGATCTTTCGATCTTTAAACACCGGTTCTTTGAGGCACCTGCTTCGTAGCTAAATCAGTGTTATAAATAAACTGAATATCTTTATGCAAATTCATATTTTTATTAATGGAATGAGAGCTTCGTAGAGGGTTGTTTCAACCCATACGTACAATAGTTCGTATCTTACGTATTTCTTATATTTTTTTAGAATTAAAATTTCCTATAAATGTATAAACATTCGTTGGAAATTATGCTACCTTTGCAATAAATATTCTACAAATTTTTTTATAGGAATTCTAACTATGCTATTAATAGTTTTAAACGTTATATGTCAAAATTTCTATTAGAATCCATATATTTCTGTCTTGGATATATCATTTATGAATCCAATATGGCGGCTAGAAAGTTCACCCTGTGTGTACTTTATTAATCCAACATGGCAGCCAGAAAGTTCAATTTTAATATATGTTATGGACTTAATTTCTAGATTTAATAGTACCACTAGTAACGTTTACAGGAATATTGACGTAATTTTAGAGCAAACCGTGTATTTCTGAGCCACCCGGTGCAGGATAACCGGTCGGATTGAAACGCGAATTGCGACGAAGCAGGCTCGCCGGGCAAATTAGTTAGTCGTTGGCCGCTGGTAATTTCTGGAAATAAAATTATCCCGCTCCAGTTGTTGGCCAGCAGGATCAGTCGAAGCATTGTACGACGACGCGTGTCCCGAAATTTTCCCGCTATTAATTCATCCGTTCGGAGAGCGACGGAAGCGACCCCGAACCATGGGATCGATAGCTGTTATCGCGGTTGTTACCATGGATACATCAAAGCTCGATCCTTAACACTCGAAAATAATTAGGATCAAGTTACTTAATATCGTTTGTGGGATCGATCAGCAGACGAACTCGCAAATATCGCGAAAGAATCGATCCACCGTAATTCGACTAACCGAGTTACTTCTCGACTTCTACTCGCAACGTCGATACATGTGAAATCGTAAGCTCTCGAAAATTAGAAAGAATCCGAGCACTCGATAAATTTTAATTTCACCGAATTCACGCGATTTTTCTATTACTTAAATATAGCGTAAAAATGAAAAAAATACATTCCAATTTTCTCCAACAGTCTGTATTAGAAATACGCAGGTTCGTGTTATCTGTTTCCCTCGTTCGCGAAATTAAATAATCGTTTCTAATGAGATATGGAGACCCGGATGACGAATACGAGTATTGATTCCTGACCTGCGAACGATGTTTGCCCATCCATTTATCAGCGATTTATCAGAACTCTCGCGGAAATATTTAAACCCTCGTTTCCACGTATTTTTACCAGTGCTTCGACGTCGATCAAAATGCCATAATCGAGCTCGCTACTTCGATGGACTTTTGCCGCAGATATCTGTCAATCGTACAAATTTTTTTCAAAAGTGAACAGTTTGAATTGATCAACGAACCAAAAAGAAAAAAAAGAACATTATCGCTGTAACGCGATGGCGAACGATGAGAAAAGATATCGTTGCTCATCTTCCATGTGTGGCAGGTAATCTGTTCCATCATAGCGCGTTTACCACGTATTAAATGATTAGTTTCATAGCGATGCTTCAAACAGATTGGCAATGGTTTGCTTTTATGACGGTTGTCGGGAATTCTCGGAACTTCTTGGTCGTTGTATGCATTTAGTTTCCCTAAATCAACGTTGAATTGTACATAGGGCTTGTAGTAGATTCTCTAAACGCCGTACGTATCGTTCTGGTCGCTTTCGATAAGTGGCTACCGGGGGTTGAAATCATAAGACTTATCGTTAGTATTCCTTCGACACGCGACCTCCATTTTAACGCCGTGGAACGAGTAAATGGTACCTAATGAAAATGGTAACGGACACAATTTACAGCGAAAGAAGTCACGACTTCGCGTTGAAAAGACTCTGATTACTCGGAACTACTCGCATAAAACGAACCTGATTACGACTGAGAAACATAATCACGTCAGTTTTTATTAAAACGTAACGGAATATCTCGAACAAGACTGGAGTTTAAAACGAAACGACGACATTTTATAATTCATATTACATTATTAATATACGTATTACGAACATTCGGATATTTCGTTTACAAAATGAATATTCAAGCGTTCGAGCGATTTTGGAATTGTCAAATATTTCAATTTTGTCCGAATGGTAATTAGTCGAATTCGAACGAGATTCGAGACGATACCTTATCAACGTTCTATTAATTTTTAATTAAATAAGAAATTTTAAATAGGAACAAATTTATCGCAGATATCATGTTGGTTGTAGCCTTGACCATATTTGCTTTGTTTGCGTGCCAAATTTTGCAAAGTTTGGTATCGTTGGTGTCAGAGTTTGCTGGTACACCACCTGGGAAAAGTAGTTTCGTGAAAAACAACGTTAAAGTTTGTTATCGGGTCGCATGGCGGTTCCGTCTGCGTAAGCAACTGTATGCACACTAACAAAGTTGGTTACTGAAATCCGGCGATTACCTTAATCGCGTCACGTCCTTCGCTAAAAGCTAACGAATAAACTGAATCACCTTGGTGTTGAACAATTAACTTTAGACAGACTGAACCACCATCTGCATGTGTTTACAATATACAAGGAGTCCCAGCAATCACGATAAGACTAAGAATGGAAATAATTCTACATGGAAAAAAAATATAGGAAAAAATTATTTCCAATTGTACCATATATATAAAGTCCCAAATATTAATTTTATTTCTGCCTCTAGGTGTGTACCTTCTTAAGGATGTACATATATCAATCTTTCGTGAAGCCTATGGAACCAGCAACAATGGAGGCCATCCACGCGAATTTCTCCGAACAAGTGGCGGTGATTTGCAAAAGGCACGTTTTACGTCTATGCAACAATTAACAATTAATAAACTAATTATTCTGCATGCGTTGCGGATTCACCCAGCCACGGTGGATTAATCGGCCGAGCGATTCGTGACGACGGAATATTAATAAACTACCCGACGCGACAGTTTACGGGCGGTCGCTTTACACGTGTATACGTTTCGGATTACAAACGCGTTTGTGTGTTTCCAATGCACTGTAAACGTACGGATCAACAAACGCTGAACGGGAACCAGTGCCACCCTCATCGTCCAAAAATAAAATAACAAAATCTATATTCGAACCATATTACAATTTCAACGATACATAAGTTTCCAAATCCGGTGACGACTTCCTGAATGTCAAGAAGTTTCGGTATCTTGACACTAACGACGATATGAAGTCGAATCGGGTGTAAAACACGTTTGCAAATTCTATTAAAATTTGAAAGTTGACGAACAACGAACTCTATAATAGTTCCACCATTTCTTAATTACGCTCAAGTTTATCTTTGCAAGATCAAAATTTCTTTTATCGCTCATTAATCGTGCTCGACAAGAAGATAAAACGTTCGACAGAAATTAGATCGCGCCATGTTGTTTCCAAGCTCGAGGGATTGTCCGTTGTTTTCCCTTCCCGTTGCTTCGAACTTCGATTTAAAATTTTTTACAAAAACAACCTTCTCGACCCCTTGGAAAACTCTTCTAGATTCCATCGGTTAAAATTAATCGTTACAGGTCTGTTGAAGAAGATGGCGACGAAATATCGGTCCTCGAGGACGTTGGTCTGTGGACAGTGAAACCGAATTTTCACAGCATAATCGTGTACAGCGTCTTGATTCCAATAGTCTCTGTTCTCGGGATAGTCGGAAACGCTCTAATTCTCTACATTCTAGGAGAGGGAAATTTCAAGGCGTCCGTGTTCACGTATCTGACAGGTCGGCCCAAGTTCCGAGCAGCTTAAGCGCTTAATACCCACTTCTCGAGTCGCTTCGTTTCCGGTAGAAAATTGTTTCCCTCCCCACCCCCCGTCGCGGTTCGTTCTTCCTTTTTCAGAGGTTATATCGCGAACTCGTTTTATTCGACGCGTCGATTCAGTTTGTCCAACTTTAATTAAAAACTCGCCAAGTCGTTTCTTAATTTTTGTCTTTTTTTTTCTTAATAAAGATTCCGGTTTACGAAACGTTTCAACGTCTTTCGAGAAAACTAACTTCGCGAGGCACGTGACTGGAAAAGCGCTTTTGCAACTCCGACTTAAAACTTTCGCGAAAATTGGTTCGAAATTGGAGTATCTGTCTTTTTTATTGGGTAAATAAGGGAACGATCTATACAGAATAATTATAGAAACTAGAACAAGTCTTTTCACAGTTTCTTATCGACTGTAACGCGTTATTAATGTTTGTGTCGATTCATTATTTATCAGTACCCTATTTATAAGGAGGATGAATATCATCAATATCGAAAAAAAAATTAATTCGATGCATAATGGGTTAATAAATTGTTTGCGTGACGTAGATAGATTTTTTTGCAGTTCTGGCAGGCGCTGATCTCGTCACCTGCATCATGATTTTATTTTCTGGACTGGCCAGGGGTGTCTTTTGGTGCAAAACAGGTTGGTTGGAGTTTGACGTGTTCGTTCATTTACCTGTTGCTTCGGTTTCGTCGAATCTCACTGTTTGGGCTACCATATTGGCTACTATCGACAGGTTGGCGATCGTTTTCAGGTGATCAAAAGACAAGCATTTAATTTCAATTATTTTATGCTCGATTATTTCATTCTTCTCAATGTTATAATCGAAGACATTTCCCAAAGTCTGATGAAATTGACTGGATCTTTATCTCCGACCGACAGTTTATCGAGATGCAAACCACCCAAATTCTGCAACCATCATCTGGCACGGAAGTTGATGGTTTTTTCCGTCAAATCTTGTTCAACGTGCCGTACTGCCTCATTTACACGTTCAATGAGCAAGGCGATTTAATAACAACGAGATTCTTTCATACGTGGTGAGTAAACGATTCTAAAAACTTCGTAAAATTTTCAACACTAAATCTAACAAATCAAAATAAAACCAAAACAGTGATAAATATTTCACATACGACGATATACTGAAAATACACATTGAAAGAACAACACAACTAAATATTGTTTCTGGAAACTGCAAATTCTGGAAATACCATCGGATTTAGATCCAAGGAACCAAAAATTTATGCAATCGTTAAAATTTTAGTTTTTCTCTGGATAATTATTGTTCCAGTAATTTTTCCTCCTCTATTATTCGATCATGGTTTGCCAAGACGCGACGTCGACGGTAGCGATACATTTTTATGATATTTCGGAGTCACCCTGCGGAATAGAAGACTTTTTTACCGTGAACGCTCGCGGCGACGTCGTTCGAGGGCGTTCGGTATTCTTGTCATGAATTCAATTTCATTCGAAGGCACGACGGAATAAAAGCTGAGTTTGCAGGTTGTACGATCTTCAGAATTGGCTGCAGTTCGTGATGTTCGGCGCGATACCGGCGGTTCTCCTTCTGGTGGCAAACCTGATCATGTGCTACTCGGTAAAGGAAACTCTGAGGCAGAGGCAGTCGTTGCTACGCAGAAATTTACGAGAAGGAAACCGCTTGACGGTAGGTAAAATACGAATTCGATTCGCTATAGAAACCAACGAACCGTTGAGACGAAAGGAAAATGAAGAAACGTCGGGGTAAAAGCGTGCGAAGTGATTTCAAAATGGCTGAAAATCTCTTGCTCGCATTAGAGACCTTCAGGGATTATGCCACTCTGATAAAAAAAAAGAATATATTATAAAATATCTAACATCTTTTACAGTGACAGAATTTTGCTTTTTTGCAAATTGAAAATTTATGGACCCTACTCAGATTTATTTTCTTCGACTTTTCGCCTCGAGAATGAATTTTTTAAATAGTACTAACTTACGATTAATTTATAAAATGTATTCCATAATGCTTCTTCCGATAAAACAATTTTAATATATTACAGAAAATTGGTCACAATTCATTGAAATTGTTAAACACATTTAACGTATCGATTGCATATACGCCTGATTAAGCAATTTCATTCCAGCCGACATTTCAGAAGAAATATGATTCCGATATACATTAATATATTCCATTTAAACGATCGTTCTCGACGCGATCTGATAATTTAATAGACACGTTTCCTTTTCTCGGTCTGAGGGACGCAATCAATTATGAAAAAAGGTAAAGAATACCTACAACGCGCGACAAAGCTGATATCTCTTAAGAATGCTCGTTTCAGACTGATCTCAGTCGCAAAAGTATGAAATTCTCGAGAGCACGTCTCTTTCGTAGGAGGAGTAACATCCATCACGGGTCACTGAAACATTCTACAATGAGTTACTCGCGGAAATATCGTGATGAATTTCTCTATTCGACGAACATGAAAAATTATACATCTCCGAGAATCTATATGCGTCTGTCCGTTCGAAGTTTCGATCGAACTTGGAATTATAGTTTCGAAATTTGTAAACGTTCTCCATCGATCGACTGACTTTATTATAAAGTGCAACCCGTAAATCGAGCTTATCGTTCAGTCTGTTTTACCGCACAAAATACTCGTTTTTCAGGATCAAGCACGAATGACTGTCATGCTGGTTGGCATCGCGTTCGTGTTCATTGTGGGCGAAGTGCCAACTCATTTGGCGTCGCGACGAAGCGCCTTGACTCTTCTTCACGGGGGTGATTTAACCAAAGTTCAGGAGTATTACGTGGAAAGGTAAGCATCGTCTTTCGCATTCAGAGCATTTCTTTCATCCACCTTATATGAATTACACACCAGATTGCTTGTAATTTTTATCCCTATGTTTTAAATTGAACTCTTCAAAACCTTATGTGCCCACCAGTTTCGTTTCATCTCAACGTTTTTCTCCAATCAAGAATTCCTTTCAAATCAATTGTGCATCTCAATAGAACCTGGTAATAAAGCATATTTACAGAACAATCAAAAGTACTCCAACCCCAACTATGAGAGGTGGTTTCATCACCTAAACATCAATCTCACGTATCGAATATTTTTGGCTGTTCTACAGATACTTTAAGTCTCATTAAAATTGACGATCAACGCCTTAGTATAATTCTTTGTAAGTTCTACTCAATGTGCAAAGATCAAGCGAGTCAATTTTCATTTTCCTCTTCTCGAGAAATATCGTTTATACAGGGTGTAAACGATAACTTTGGCAAAAATCATAGGGTAAGTAGAGGTCCCATAGGCAAGTATTTTGAGCATGGGAACCCGTGTCCGGAAATGCACCAGTAAAGAATTACGGCGATCTTTAATTTTGGTCTTTCGCGCCTGATGGGTAGGCAAACTTTTTTTAGTTTATTGTTTCTTGACCATGATTTCATTAAATGTTTACGTTGATCATCGTAACACTTTCAATGTTTGTCATCTTTGTCACCTACACGACTGACCCACCTCAAAAGAAACAGTTTCCAGTACGATGGGTTTTCTATCCATCAGGAGCTAAAGACCGAAGTTAAAGATCGCCGTAATTTTTTACTGGTGCATTTCCGGACACGGGTTCTCATGCTTAAAATACTTGCCTATGGGGCCTCTACTTATCCTATGATTTTTGCCAAAGTTATCGTTTACACCCTGTATATACATATATTTTGCATAAAGAACCCCACACAGATCTTAAGGCAAATGGCTCCCGGTTAAATGAGCTGAACTTTTGATATGATGTAGTTCATGATGTCTTGATGAAAAGGTCCAATGGGCCCAACCTCGTAAAATGGACAGTTTCCGAGATACGGGGGATCAAAAGTCATTAATAGTGCGCCTTATTCTAGACTACCACGTTTGAGCATATTTCGGTGTAAGAAGCACTGTTGTGACCCTGTGGGCCTTTAAATATTATCCATTGACCCCCTGACCCTCTGACTCTCCTTCAAGAGTCAAAATAAAAAAACGCCAAAAGGTAAAAAATGATTCTCTTTTTCGTTGTACAAACATGAAGCACCGTCGACATTAGCACTACCCAGTGTGCACCACGAGAAGGTTGATCGGTCGGATTTTCCACACCATGTCGTCCTGAAGAGGGCCGCTTTTATAGTTCTCTCTATTCGACCATAAGAATCTCAATATTCATATTGTCTTGATGGTCTCTATTAGCGGCATCTTCGGTCGTATTTAGAAGATTGCCATCCTAATATTTGGCATGCCTTTGATGACGAGCAAATCCAAAAAACCTTAAAACACTTACAATATGTGTTCATGTACCTAATGTTTTGGCACCGGATTGACAGATGCAGGAGTAACCATTTATTACTTCCTCTTCTAGTTCCAGTTCATTTTTGGGAATGTGAGAAATAAGAACTTAATGTTTGGTACGATTCCGAAATCGTGAATTTTGTAGTCGTCTAAGGCTGTTATCTACCAACGAAGTGTCAATCTGCGCTAATAGAGGGCATCAAGACAATATGAATGTTGAGATTGTTATGGACAAATAGAGAACTATAAAAATGGCCCTTTTCAGGGCCACATGGTGTACAAAATCCGATAGAGCAACCTCCTCGTGGTGCACACTGGGTAATGCTAATGTCGACGGTGCTTCATGTTTGTACAATGAAAAAAGAACCATTTTTACCTTTTTGACGTTTTTTTATTTTGACTCTTGAAGGATAGTCAGAGGGTCAGGGGGTCAAGGGATAATATTTAAAGGCCCACAGGGTCACAACAGTGCTTCTTACACCGAAATATGCTCAAACGTGGTGGTCTAGAATAAGGCACACTATTATTGACTTTTGATCCCCCGTATCTCGGAAACTGTCTATTTTACGAGGTTGGGCCCGTTGGAACTTTTCATCAAGACATCATGAAGTACATCATATCAAAAGTTCAGCTCATTTAACCGGGAGCCATTTTCCATAAGATCTGTGCGGAGTCCTTTAGCATGTTTCCATATCTGTATAAGCCACAAGTAAATAAAGCATTTGTCGATCATCAACGTGTATCAAGAAAGTGTAAATACCGAGTATGTATGTACTTGGTGGCAAAGATGCTCGACCAAACCCGTGTGTAAGCTCGAAAACGGTCGATTCCCGGTAGCGAATGCTGATATTACCCGATAGAGCAAACATTAAATATCGCTTTAGATAAATATCGACAATAATGGTTACATGTTTGCACAGGTTTCGCATGTATGCGACGCTCCTCAATGCAATATCGGGTCCGGCCAACTTCGTGCTATACTGTCTGCTGAATCGACATTTTCTTTCTCATCTGAAACGTCTTTTCAACGCCAAAACCTCACGGACGAGTGCTACTAACGTCAAAATCGGTATTCCTTACTCGATTCGCCAAATCGAGTCCTAGCAACGTCGCTGGAAAGGTTAAACGCACGACAAATAAACATTTGCAATTACGTTGTGAGATCCTGTGAAAGAGATGGAAAAGGAGAGGAGAGTATTACGTTGTGAGATCCTGTGAAAGAGATGGAAAAGGAGAGGAGAGTATTTTATCCTAGTAGACTCTGGCTTAGACGCAGGGATATTGAGAGTCGATCGAGCGCTTGAGAGAAAATCAAGAGCGTAGCCCTCTGGTGGCATAAAAAATTAGAAAAGTCCATTTCGAACGATTAAATTATATTAGATCGAGCACAGTAGCTTCAAGTTTTTAATTCTTTGATTAATAACAAGATCACGCTGGTCTGTGATTTTCTACAAATAAAATGGAAAGATCCCAATGCAATCGACTTCTCTAATCGCTATAAACAAGCATTTATAAATAATAGTTTATTCTGTAAAGTGCTAGTTTATATTTCCTACATTTTTCTTTACTGTTTTGTTAATCAGATTACATCATTACTTTGCGAAGTCTATTTTCGCAAAACCTTTAATCAAGAAACACTCGAAATCCGTGGCTTTTTGAACTAATAGGATTTGCCTGACTTTGCCGGCAAAGCTGCTCGTTCCAAGCGTGAAACTCGCGTTTCTTCGTCGAAACCTTACTCGTAGCCGCGGAGACAAATAACTTGGAAGCTGGTGGCAAACGGTGGTTCTTTGTCTCCAGTCTCTTCTTGCGAACAGCGAGGAGTTCGTTGAGAAGATAGTAAATAAACTCGATAAAGGATATCACTGATCCACCCAGACAGAGCCCAAAGATTCCCCCGAAAGAGGCTGAAATTTCATAAAAATCCCAATCTAACCATTTCATAAAACTTTCAATGACTAATTGTTCCCAGTTTTAACCAGTTCGCTGTGTTCGACAGCGTAAAATTAGTTATCATTTGCTATTTAAGTTGTAATTTTAGCGAAAATTGAAATATATTCGTAAATCTTTGGAGATAAAAACGAAATAACACAAACAAGATCGCGGTCTAAAGAGAGGTCGTCACAGCTGACTGGTTAAATCAACGTCGTTTTTTCGTCGACCAAGATTCGCTATACTCGGTTTCGTTTCGCCCTCGAATTCATAACGCGAGTTACCCTTCCCCCCTCCCCCCGTTGAAACTTTTTTATTACTCCTGCATTCCAATGGAACTTCCAAAGCACGTTGCAAGTTTCCTAACGAACTCAGACTGATTTTACCTTATTTTCCGACCCGTTCCTTCCCATTAGCTACTTATGCCACTACAGGGGAAACGTCCCTACAGATATCTTCGTAGGAGATTTCGCTTACCGAGTAGACCGTCCCAGCCCATGATGGTATCCTTGCGGTAGTCGAGGTACGTGCCATCCCGGAAGTACACGTAGAGGAACGAGGTAGTCTTTGCATTTAAACCGTGTCTGCAAAGAAACGCGCGAAACGTGTGACTACCCCGTAAATCACGAGGAAAGAGATGCACCGGATTATGCTCTTCGATTATGAATCTTAACGACGTGGAATGCCAGCGTAGATGGTCGTCTCGAAACTAATCCTAGAAACACACCTCTCCTTCCTGTCTGTTCACGCATTTATGGGAAATTTTAATTCTCAAGAAACTACAGAATGCACTTAATATGTATATGCAAAAATATAAGAAATACGTAAGATACGAATTAGTATACAGGGTGTTCGGCCACTTCTTAAAAAATTTTAATGGGAGATTCTAGAGGCCAAAATAAGACGAAAATCAAGAATATAAATTTCTTGACTGAGGCTTCGTTAAAAAGTTATTAACGATTAAATTAAAAAATTTCAAATGATTCTGAAAAAATTATTTTTGGTTGTGGGGCTCAATTACAATCATTTTTTGGTACATATACATAACCCTGGAATCCTACCCACTTTCGAGACAAAAATTCGAGAAGTTTTTCGACAAAATTAAAAATTTTCAAATCGTGCTGGAAAAATTATTTTTAGTTGTGGGGCTCAATTACATACATTTTTTGTGAATACACATACTTCCGAAATCCTACGCACTTTCGAGAAAAAAATTCAGTACGTGCAGAACTTTAAACGTTAATAACTTTTTAACCAAGAGTCCACCAACAAATTAGTATCCTTGATTTTCGTCTTATTTTGTCTTTTAGAATCTCCCATTAAAATTTTTCCCAGGGGTGGCCGAACACTCTGTATTTAGGGGTTGAGACAACCTTCTACGAAGCTTTCATTTCATTAATTCTATTAATAAACATTCGAATTTGTATAGAAGAAAACGATAAATAATAGTAAAAGCACTCGAGGAAACGTTTGCAAACTTGAATTATTAATTTTTGGAACCGCAGTTTGTATTCTTCGTCGAGACTCGAACGAGAAATTAACAGAATCAACTATTACTCACGTTATTTCGGAGTCGAACTCTATGTCTCCTATTTGTGTCGATTCGCTGATTACTTCGTAGGATTGGTCGTTGCATTGCGGAAGGCAGTTGCAGTCGTTAATGTGCGATAATTTGATACGAGATAGGTTCCCTATTTCAAAGTTAAACGATTTAAAACGATATAAACCGCACATTGGAGAACGTTCTATCGCAATATACATATATGTAATATACTTTACTTATTAACGATAGAAAAGAAAAATCTTCTCATCGAAGAAATAAAATGAAATCGAAGTTAGACGGAATTTTATTAATTTTGTAACAATAGATAACCAACGAAACTAACATATACCTATTTATTCTTTGTTCGAACAAAATGTTCGTTTATCGATAAAATATACTTACTTCTGCGAGCCAGAATGCAATCCACGTCTGTCAAGTAACAGGTGCGGACATTTGGATCTAGCAACAGAGTGTATAAATGTTTGCAACGATGCGGGAATTAATTTTATGTGTATTGTAATAGTTTGTTTCCATTAAGAATATATATAAAAATTCAAAATTCAAAAGATAGAAGCTGCACAATAACTGAATCAGAAGCTGTAATGGCTTGTTTCCATCAAGAATATAATAATTAAAAATTCAAAATGAAATCCAAATAGTTTTATATAGTGTTTTATACAACTATCACAGGTTGTGTGTGCATGTGACAACGTGAAGAACAATATATTCGTAATGACTCACGATCGTCCGGATAGAAAAATGGCAAACACCCGCAGTACCCATACGAATTCTGATGTATGCACTTCGAGATGCACGTTTGGTAACTGTACTTGCGTTCGCCGTGTTGCTAGAAAATTTCGTAGATACAAAAATCCCGTGATGTTTCGGAATTGTACACACCCTCCCCCCTCTCCCCCCCGAAAGCGTAATTACGATTCTCGTATGTACCTCACCGTCGAACAAACACATCCTCTTTCGCAGAGGTATGTTGCGAATAGCCTCGGAGCTTTCGATTCTAGTTCCAGCGAGTGTCATCGACAATGCATGGCCGGGTAGCAGAGTGGAGGGTTGTGCACCGACATCCGGATAATCTATCGGATCGTGTGTCAGCACCGTGGCACCCACGAACTGTCTCACCGAGCTTTTATAGTTTTTACCGTCGATATTCAACGCTATTGATAAACCGATATCGCGACCAGTTCCTGGCACGTCCTGAAACGTTAAATTCTGTTCGAACGATTGCTTGATCGGACGACTTTAATCCCTGTGTCTCGTGAATAACGTACTGCGCGTGCGCGACAAGTTGGCTAGCGGAACGGAGCATAGTAGGGGTAGAGGAGAGTACGCTTGCTCCGCCTACTCCCTTTCGCTTTCGTCGTCTCGGCCCAACAGCGTGTGGGCTCGACAAACTCTGAACTAGAGTGGGAAGAACTGGGCACCAATCAGACCTGCATTCCTTTCGCTTGTCAACTTCTCGCGGACGCACAATAGAAACGTTTAATCGAAGTTATTCGTTACTGCAACGAAGGCCAAACGATTTAAAAAATATATAGAAAAATTAGGTAAATAATTAAGTTGTTTTTCTTCTTACATTAACTCCAACTCGTATAATTTCTAATATTATTACGAGAATTACCCTAAATTTTAGATACAAGGTATTTACCAGAATGTGCCCGACACCTGGTAGAGGTTCGGAAGAATCGTGTGACTGGACATGTTTCTCGGTTACGTTCGTCGATTGCAAATACTGTTTCCTGAAGAAAAATTAACCCATCAAGATCGTGCGTTAAGATAACACAAAAACTCGAACGATCTTACGTGTAAATATCAGTGACGAATCATTGATTTACAATGAAATCTGAAACAACGCAAACTAAAAATATTGAAAAAATTACTCGAAGTTTCTGAGAGGACCGAAGTGATAATTGAAGCCGCAACAAAAGCCTTCGTTGGACTTGACGGTTTTGAAAATCTTATTGCAATCGTGGATCTGACCGAGCCAGGCGCATCTCACCAGCAGCAAGCTGCAAGGTTGCATTAGCTGGAACGCAAGAAAAGAGCGTACAGTTTTTCGTTACGCAAATCCGTGGCAGAGATTTGTCGAACAGAATAAAAAGAACTTTTCACCTCGAGCATGAGTTTTTCGACCGTGTAACCGAGCGTGTCAAGGGCCGACGATGCCGTTGTGTTATCGATTTCAATTTTATCCGGCCTTATCAATTTCATTAAGGAAAAGAACAGCCTATTGCTCATGTCAGTGTCGAATCCATTCATCAACCTATCACAGAAAATTTCTAACTAACGTATACTGTGGGGTCAACTAATTCTTGTAGTCGTTTCATTAATTACATCTATACTCTTACACATTTTTAGATTTTTCGTAGTCGAAAATGGTATTTTATTTACTAATACTACTCAAAACTATTACCAATAAACTGATCGAGTTTTCTCGAAGAAAATGAGTTCAAACAAGACCACACTTAAACAATGTCAAATTATACAATTTTTAAAAGTTTACAAAACCTGATATAGTTGCATACGTCGACACAGAACGATTCCCGCAATAAATTTGCAAACACTAGACCATACATATTCATTATCTTTTTGCCGCTCGAATTATTATTTACAATTTATTAAAGTAAATAATCGAAAATAGTGTACAGAAAATAAGCTAGTCCTTTGTCGTTTCGAGTCTTATTTACTCAGCAGGAAACGTCCTGGATAATTACACGTACAAAGGAATACATTTTCGCGACAGAACGTGAAATATTATCTTTGTAAATTTTAATTAACGAAAAGGTTTTCTGCCAAGATCACGGGCGGTATGATTTCAAGCCTCAAAAGAAATACATAACGATGTTTTTTTAAATTGTTTTGAAAGACCGTTGAGTTTAATAATTTTTTTTTTATGCGAGAACATCACTCACAATTTCTGCGCAATCACGTCGGCGTGCGGTTTGTAAACTTTGTTGTTGTTGCATATGGTGATGCCTGGGAACTGTAAATCTTTTATAGGATTCGACGTGTCGATGATCGTCATCGTGGGATTGTTCGAAAACTGTGTCCACAAACGTAACATCAGAATCACGCAAAAAGCGATGGACGACATACAAATCTACAAACAAAGAATTAATGTTTCCCGGGATATTATGAACAAAAAAATATACCGGATTTTCGGCCAACACTGAGAAAAATTTTAATGAGAGCTTCTAGAGGCTAAAATAAGACGAAAATCAAGCATACTAATTTGTTGATTGAGGCTTCGTTAAAAAGTTATAGAAACATTTTCAGCCACACAGTATATTTTCGGTAAAAAATTTTTTTTCTCGAAAGTACGTAGGATTTCGGGGGCATGTCTGTTCGCCAAAACTACTTGTAATTGGCCCCTGTAACTAAATATAATTTTTTTAGTATGATTTGAAATTTTTTAATTTCGTCTAAAAATTTCAGTACCTACTCGAATTTTTTTCTCAAAAGTAAATAGGATTTCAGGGGTATGTCTGTTCACTAAAAATGATTGTAATTAACCTCTGCAACCGAAAATAATTTTTTTACAATAATTTGAAATTTTGTAATCTCATTTTTTAGTAATTTTTTAACGAAGTCTCAATCAAAAAATTGATATTTTTTATTTTCGTCTTAATTTGGCCTCTAGAATCTTCCATTAAAATTTTTCCCAGGGGTGACCAAACACCCTGTATATGAATTTTCACCCACCGTGAACCACGCTATTCTGTCCAAACACGTTTTGCTCGTCACGATATAACGAAATCCGTGCAATCCTGAATTTTCACAATAAACACGCAACGATCTCTTCAAACGTTTCACGAATGATCGATACCCTGATACGATAAATTTAACGTATTGCAAAAATGAAGCTTGCATGAAAAACAAATTATTTATTTTTGTAGATACACTTGCGATGTTAATACTTTTGTAAAATATATGCAACAAAGCTGAACTTTTCCTTATTATTTTTCACAAAGATTGGGAAAGGTTAAAAAATTTTAATTCAAATATTAAAGATATATTACGGACGTCAAATTCATAATGAGTCATCGAAAAAGATCACGTACAAAAATCACTCTAATCGCTGCCTGATTTCTTACCCAACGTCTGCTTTTTCCCGTACGAATTATAACCATTTTCTGTTATACTTTTCATCCTGATTTTCCAAATTAACCGACAGTCGACGCGCACGTTCGGCCAAACTAGCCGCCAGGAAATCTATCGCACGAATAAACATGACAGACCCTGGAAACGCCAAGTACGTTTCCACGTTAGGTGGACTCTGGTATCGTTACACAGAATTTCTATTTTCTACCAATTTTGCTCGTCGAATACTAGGAAATGCTATTATTTGGATTTCGGTGACCCTGGAGTACCGGCGACCACTTAGGCAAATGCTACGCCACAGGTAAGAGGAAATTGACAGATCACTCGGAGTCGATCGAAGCGTTTCCCTGAAAGTAATAAAAACCTCCCGAGAAACTAATGCACTCACCAGGACTGACAATCCAGGAAAGATAGTATCACCACAGACGAGGTATACGAGTAGACTTTTCACCTAATGTATTTTTTTGGCCCATGTTTCTGGGGCTCCAGAGCCCTGTGGCCATATTCAGCATTGTTTAACATTACAATGCAATATTTTAAACTATTGTTACCAATATGTGGCATAAAAATAATGAAAAGACGCATCAGTATACATAAATAATAATTTTTCGCGTAATAATTTGTCCACCGAACGGATTGAGATGGCTGACACACGCTGTGCTCTCATGTCGAGTCATGATCATGTCATCATCATATTGATGGATGACGATATAATGTACAAATTAAATATAACTCACACTTTTGTCAATTTATAGTAACAGATGACAAGATTCTTAAATTTGTTAACATTATTCACTTCGATGATTACATGCAAATTATTCACAACTTTAACTAGTCAAAGAATTGCGAATAATTCGTACTTGTCAACTCATATGCATTTACACATAACTAGTTTGTTTGCCTATCATACTAATTCAGTGAGTTTCTCAACTGACCGCCATCCATGAGAAGAGGCCGCTAAAATCACCTCTGAATTTTCAGGTCGGTATGGCAGTCAGATTGGGCCACGGAAGTCCATAAGATGAAAGCACAGACGAGATATATGAGTAGACCTTTCACCCAATGTATTTTTTGGCCCATTTTTCTGGGGCTCTAGAGCCCCATTACCATTTTCGTGTCACTCGCAACGTTACCAACAGATTTAGAAATGAACACAAGAGGAAGTGAGACAGAAAATGAAATTACAGAAATTTTAGTATTTTTTAACGGAATGAAAGCTGTACGGTACAGAATTGAGCATCAATCGATTAATTTCATTGGAGTAACCAATCGATTATGATTATTTAAAGATTTCAAGACGATTAAGATACGTAAGGATATACCTCATTGACAACTACATCGAAAATTCACTATTTTTTATTTTAAACTGTAATACATCATTTATTTAAAAAATAACTCGGTATGGCAATCAGATCGGGTCATCAAAGACCATAAGGGGAAAGGTCTCATCGTATGCCTCGTGTGTGAAAATTTACTTGTGGTTTTATCTCTTTTCTTAAAATTTTTGTGCCTACATTCCAAAGCTTCTTCTGTCAATTGCCCAATTGGATTTAGTGCATGTCTTATTATTTCAGCACCGTGAATTCATATTTTATGCACGGATGATGGCGTACAGTACCAGCCATAATGTTCAACAAAATACTTTGCAGTATCGCGTGCATAGCCCTCGAATTTGTGTAGAGATGAAATCACCTATGATATAATATGACATTTTTTAATTAAGGTCGTTTCAAAATCTATTCGATACAGAACAAATATTTATGGAAGATTTCATATAATAACAACTATTACTATTATAATTTGTAATATAATATATGCATTTAAAAATTGTTCTCTGAATGTTTCGCTGATGCAGCTCAAATGGTTCTATTTCAACTGACTGCAGTAAAAAGATCAAAACCTTAGTGAACAAAGAGTCAAAGGCCTAGCAGCACGATGGATAAGCACGTATTCGCGTACAAAGATACGACACATATACCTTTAAAATGTAATAATTTAATCAATGGGACGTCGGGGGAAACGATTTTTGTATAATTATGTAGTGGAAAATGTACTGAAAATATCCCAATTTGTTCCAATGCGGAACTCCTTGGGACTTGAAGGTTACACCTTGTCAATTGTAAAACATTTTGAAAATTTTCTTTATTTCAGTGAACATTACTTTTTAAATATATTATGTACCGAAATTATAAATTGAAGGTACGATTTCTTATCTTGAAAGAATGTTCTTTATTACACAAAGAACACAGAAGCGAAATATCAAACAGAGTCTTCAGGAGATCTCGAAGAAAGGAAAGAGTTTTACGAATGAGAAATGCTACCTTTAGAATGTCCAACTTTAAGTGTTTATACTGGGTGTTCGGCCACCACTGGGAAAAATTTTAATGGAAGATTCTAGACGCCAAAATAAGACGAAAATCAAGAATATCAATTTCTTGACTGAAGCTTCTTTAAAAAGTTATTAACAATTAAATTTAAAAAATTCAAATCGTTCTGGAAAAATTATTTTAAGTTGCGGGGGTCAATTACAATCATTTTTGGTCATTACACATACCCCCGAATTCCTAGGCACTTTCGAGAAAAAAATTCCTTACCGAAAATCTAATTAGGTGTCTTTTATCGACGAAAAAAAAATTTCAAATTGTTCTGGAAAAATTATTATCGGTTGCGGGAGTTAATTATAATTATTTTTGGTGAATAGACATACCCTCGAAATCTTACCCACTTTCTAGAAAAAAATTCGAGAATGTGTGAAAATTTTTAATGGAAAAAAAAATTACAAATCGTTTTGGAAAAATTATTTTCGATTGCGGGGGTCAATTGGAATCATTTTTGGAGAATAGACATACCCAAGAAATCTTGCGCATTTTCGGGAAAAAAATTCAGTACGGACGGGACTTTAAACGTTAATAACTTTTTAAGGAAGCCTCCATCAACAAATTGATATTCTTGATTTTCGTCTTATGTTGGCCTCTAGAATCTCCCATTAAAATTTTCCCCAAGGTTGGCCGAATACCCTGTATAACTTAAAATTTGTAATGTATTTTAATAATTGTTTCATTTCCGAGATCCATGAATATTCAAAAAGCAATAAACATTAACCAGATATCGATATGACAAAATTGATTTTTTGCCAAAGTGTCCGGACCCGGCCCTCGGTGCACCTCCAGGATTCCAGCCCGGGCCCTCGTGTACCTCCGGAAACCCAGCCCCGACCCCCGGAACACCTCCGGGTTTACATACATACGAATAATAAAAAAAATTTCTTTTTCTTCAATAATTAAAATCTGATCAGGGTACTTTGGTTATGTGCGCCTACATAGGTCGGAAAGTAAAAATGCCTGGGCAGTCGAGAATCTCGAGTCGAGATTCCAAATCGTATGCCGTTGACGTGAAGTCGGATTTTAGTTGTTCAAGAGCGAGAAGGCAAATTTAAGCTTTTCTCTTTCGACTCCCACGAAACGGTCCGAAATTACTTCGGGTCGCTTCGGAGAATCGAAAAAGAGGGCATGTATCAGTTTGCCTTTGTCGACTCTTCGAAACTCTACGAGCTCTCGTACGCGTGATCTGGCATAGTGTAAGAAAATGCCTTCGGTGCACTTCTGGCATCTCTGGATTTATGTAAAAAAATATTTTAGAACGCTCATGCAATAGTGAATATATTTCGGCGAAAAAAAAAATTCCAAATCGTTCTGAAAAAATTATTTTCGGTCCCGGAGGTCAATTACGATCATTGTTGGTAGATAGACATACCCCAAAAATCCTACGTATTTTCAAGAAAAAAATTCGAATAGGTACCTAAATTTATCGGCGAAATTGAAAAGATTCAAATCTTTCTAAAAAAATTATTTTCGATTTCGGGGGTCAGTTACAATCAGTTTTGGTGGATAGGCATACCCCCGAATTCCTACGCACTTTCGAGAAAAAAATTCTTTTCCGAAAATATAATGTGTGTACATATATAAAAATCATAAATCCTCAAAGTACATTGAATGTAAGGTCGACTCGTATACCTCGTCTGTGATTGTACATTCAATGAAAACTCAAATCTGTCAAACTTATTATACCACAACATATACGTATATGTATAATATACACATATACGTACAATTTTTTTTGTTAAACTCCATACGCTTTTGCGATATTGTGTAATTATTGAATATTTAAAAACTATCATTTAAATTTTGCCATGAATTCGCCAAAAAAGACAAGTGCTTATCAAAGATTAATGTTGCGAATCGCCACGATTCTTCCGAAAAAATTTCGTCCCATTTTCTTACATCCCGCAGGTTGGAAAACGGCTTCGTTTAACTAAATTTTATAAATTAATTTTCTATTGCTTTCATTAATGTAGGTCCAACAACTGTATTTTTTTGGGCTCCAACATTTAAATGGGGTTTAGTAATAGCAGGAATAGGAGATATTAATCGCCCTCCCAACACGATTTCTCTCAGTCAAACTGCGAGTCTTATGATTACAGGTGCTATATGGTCCAGGTATTTTTAATCTGTAACAAGTCTTTTATGCAAATGTTGTGACGATAAGTACACTAATCATTTATCCGCCAGATATTCTTTAGTAATTGTTCCAAAGAATTATAACCTATTTAGCGTGAATGCATTTACAAGTTTAACGGGAGCATATAATTTTGCAAGAGCGACCTTATATCAATTGGAGCAGAACTCAAAATAATATCTTGTAAAAAATGGGAAATAGGTTATCATAAAAACGAAGATTTACGAAAATATATTGTTGTTAATATTTATTTAGAACATTATTTTACACTGACGCTAACTATTCGGATGTCATCGTAAGGTTTGTCGGTTTTTGGATTCGTTTTTACTTGACTGATATTTTGTACAACTTCCATTCCTTTTACTATCCTGCCAAATACTGTATGCTTATTATCCAACCAAGGCTAAACGAAATGTTAAACGCAACGGTATTACATCGATAATGGAATAGAAAATAAAAATCAAAACGTGTATAATCCTTCTTACTTACCGTTGGCGTTAAAGTAATAAAAAACTGGCTGCCGTTTGTGTTCGGTCCCGCGTTCGCCATACTTAAAGTGTACGGTCTGTCGTGTTTTAAATGAGGTCTAAATTCATCCTCGAATTCACCTCCCCAAATACTTTCTCCACCAGTACCAGTTCCAGTAGGATCACCAGTCTGAATCATAAATCCTTTAATCACTCTGTGGAACACGTGTCCATTGTAATAGCCATTTTTCGCGTGAACACAAAAGTTCTCCACTGTCTTCGGAACATCTTTCCCGAACAGATTGACGTGAATATCTCCAAGCGTTGTATGAACAATCGCAGTATCGAAAATCTTTTGCATATTCGTAGCTTCTGTAGAAGAAATAATGTCTTCTTTCGATGGCCTTTCGTTAAAAACGTCTCTGTCACACTCTTGGCTTTTAGTATCTTCCGGCTCCCGTCTCGTAAACATATAAAATCTATTTTTCTTATGAGCTGTACAGAATAAAGTAGGATCAGGCCGATTCATTTCCAATGTAGGATTTTCTGATGCTTCCATTTCTACAGTCAAAGCAGCTGTAGTTTTTCTTGATTTACCCTGTGTTTTTTTTAAGTACATAGAAGTTGTTACAAATAACATTTCAAGTACAAAACTATGTAAATATCGTATAATTATTTAACTGCACGAGTACCTGAAACAGAGCTAATTGCATAGGACGAATATTTTCAGGTTTTCCCATGATTCTAATACATCGATTCGTGTATAAATTTACGAGCTTTACACCCAACATTGTACTATATAAAATCATGTAACCAGATTCATCAAAAACTATGTTTCCCAAGTTAGTTTCCGTTTTATCCAATTCCCTTTCAACTGCCATTCTAAACGTTATATTGATAGGAACGAAGACAATAATTTAATTCCTTATGCTAAAATAGTTAAAAAATACTATACCTTCGTCCAAATTCCATATTTGGTAGTTGCTGTGTCATTTGTTGTAATTCAGAAAACCTTTGCAGAGTTTCATCAAATACCCTGTACAGTTTGCCAGTACGAAAATTAAAGACTCTGACTTTTCTATCTCCGCTGAGAGAAGCAAACTTTTTGCCATCGGGCGATACTGCTAAGCCACAAGGATAAGTCTTATTTTTTGCAAACTCAAACAAATCTGTATCTAGCTTCGAATCGAATGCAACGCATCTAGGAAATTTGTATTCCATTTTAGGACCCGTCCAGTATTCTAAAATGCCTGCTTTGTCCACAGAAATACATGTTTCATATACAGGATTGTACTGTAAATAATTAAAATTTATACAATGACTCTTATGTGAACTGCATAGACTGTAACATTTATGTTAACTTTTCTTACTTTCATAGCAACAACAGGTTTAGTATGTAGTTTTTCAAAGACATGTAATGGTGTCCCAGTCCCCTGACCATCGTAAACAAAAATTTTATTTGACTCTTGAGCTGAAACTGCTAGAGCAGATATTGCGTCACCAGGTGAATATATCCATTCACAAGAAAGAGGTATAAACTCCATTTTTATCATATTAATCATATCTTGAATAAAGTTTCAATTTGTTAAATAATGAGAGAATGTTACATATTGATTTTAAAATCAAATAGTATAAAATCTTTTGATTCTCTAGATACGTACCAAAATTGATAACGTCAAAAATTTTTATTGTTTTATCTAAACTAACTGTACATGCATGAACACCTTTACAACTAGCTGCCATAGATTGTATAGCCATTAAATGTGCACGAAAATGTTTTACAAATTCTATAAGCTCATCTTGTTTCTTCCAAAATTTAACATGTCCATCCGAACTAGCCGTTATCACAAAATTTGATCTGAACAGACACAACAAAGCAGATTTGATTATAATTATTACTATGATCCTAAACTATAAAGGGCATACCATAAATATAATAATAAATACTGACTTTGTTACCAAGATATGAGTAATTACATCTCTGTGCATATAAGATTTCTCGTAACATTCGCAACATGGTAAATTATCTAAATATACTTGTTCGTACTCCAAAACTGTAAAAATTACAGGGAAATTTAATTAGAACATGCAGTGAATTTTTGTAAACAATATAACATAACCTCAAATCTTCTCTTCATAAATAAATTGCACACGAAGATAATGACAGTATCGCATAGTAAATTGTCATTGACACAACACCAAGTAATAAGAAAATGATTTTTATTTAAGAATTTTGTGGAAAATATAATCGAAATCACAAGTACAGGTTACATGCATAAACCTTTTAGTTTCTTTTGAGGTACAGCTTCTGAAGGTAATGGTCCAACCCAATCGTCCTCGTTATCACTTTCACTATGTTCTCTTTTAGTACCTGACATTATTACAAAAATGAAAATAAAAAGCTAATAAACAAGAAATGATATATATTTAAAATTGATGTTTACTATATGTTGATCGCGCCAACGTAGCTCAAACGTAACGCAAAGTAATTTCAACTGCTTGGTTTCGATAACATTATTAAGAGATGACGATATACTTTTTCGTTAATTGGCATTTTACTTGTTATATCAATAACAGTACATACATATAAAATGTCCATATAATAACATCAATATGACATTATACTTTCATCATGCTTCTTTCCGTTTTAGAAACATTTAAATTCGAACTAATCAGAGGACTAGTGTTATATATAACTAATTGAAAAGTTTAATTAATACTTCCGTAAATAAATTTACTTAACAATTCAATTCTGTGATAGTATCATGCGTCCTAATATATTTTAAATGTATGAAGTATATCTTTGAAATTACATGAAATTATATATTTAGGAATTTTACAGCAATTGCAATAAAAATATTATTATATATTGATAAACTTAAATCGTGCATTATTATAATTACAGCACTTAAATTATCTTAAATTTAAATCGACCTTTACAACCGAATAAAATAGCTGATTAAGTTAAAAAATTTGGTTTATTTAAAACCTTGAAAATATGTTAAACCATTTTTACTCTGAATAAAACATGCTTCAAATTATCGTACAAATTAAAGTTGAATCATTACATTTTATAAACTTATATTTTTATTTATACGGAAGTACTATATTCTTTTTACTATTAAAATTTATTAGTTATAGTCAAACGAAAAGTTGTAATGTATTCTTAAACCTATCAAAATTTGAAGAAGCAAGTATACATTTAACCTACTATATACTAATAAAATTTCAGAGTGAGGAGAATAAGGCGGCACGAGTTTAGTGCATTATCCTCAAATCGTAATGTGTTAACTCTTTTCTTATAAAATTATTAGTGTCAAAATTTATTGTTATTGTTTATTGTAGAAACCTTAGAAAACTTTGGCATTTCCTAATATGACTAGGTAAGTTTCAATGATTTTGAGGTTATATTTTTATATTATAAGTCAAAATATCTTAAACAATCGTTGCTTTTTTTGTATTTCGGTAAACAATTTAGAATACTACCCGATAATCTTTTTGTTTGTTGTTTACGTAAACATAATATATTAAAATTTTGAATATTCTTGTTTCCAAAAGCACGTTCACTTAAAAACGTGTAATTATAGCAGAAAAAAATAAATGACAAATTTTAAATGAAAAGTTATTCTCTAAATGTAATTTGTCATGTAAGATATTTTCTAACTAAAGATCAACTACAGTCATATTCGAATTTTATAAGATGTAAATTATTTTATTACAAAATTTTCGAAATTGTTATAGTACATAAAAATCAAATTAGAAATATGAATGTGATATTTTGAATTATTTAAATAACTTATGTTTTTCTGCAATATTAGTTATAATTAGTCCTGGTAAATATATTTAATGTCTACCAAAAATGGAAAATTCATAATTACAGATCAAAGATAGAGTTAGGAGATGTAACACCACATAACATTAAACAACTCAAACTCCTTAATCAGGTGGTGTTTCCAGTCTCATATAATGAGAAATTCTATAAGGATGTATTAGAAGCTGGAGAGCTAGCAAAACTTGCATATTATAATGACATAGTAGTATGTTATACTTATCTTTAAAACTTTTTGGGAAAGAGGTCTATGAATCACAGAAGGTTGTTAATAAATAATTCGTTCGTTATATTGTTTATTTTAGGTCGGTGCAGTTTGTTGTCGAGTAGATACTTCCGAAAATTCTAGGCGTTTATATATTATGACATTGGGATGTCTTTATCCCTACAGAAGGTTAGGAATTGGTACCGTAATGGTGCAACATGTTTTAAATTATGTCAACAAAGATGGAAATTTTGATTCGATCTTTCTGTAAGTATTTAAAGTAAATATATTTGAAATAACATTATTTCACGCATCCTATTTACAGCCATGTTCAAATAAGTAATGAAGGGGCAATTGACTTTTACAAAAAATTTGGGTTTGAAATAGTAGAGACAAAGAAACATTATTATAAGAGAATAGAACCAGCAGATGCTCATGTATTACAAAAGACATTACGTACTAGAACAAATCAAACGAATAATCAACAACCTAACCAATGAAAATTGTTAATCATTAATTTATCACATGCCAAGAACCACATGTTTTCACAGTTTGGTAATAAAATTATTTTTATTCTACTTCCCATTGTGTTATAAGTTATTAAATTAGAATTTTATAAATAATTTAATAAAGTTGACAAATACGATGTACTTCCATCTAAAGAAAATATATAACTTAATAAACCCTATAAAATGTTAATACATCCTCAAGACAAAGAAAATGTATTATTCATATTATTTTCTTTTTTATATAATTTAACTAGATCGATATCGCTTTCGTAGTATTTTATACCTAGCACCTTTTATGTTTATGTTACGATACAGTATATTTGTGTTCTGAAAATTAGAAAGCCAGCTACGTATCTTACAAAATATTTTTAATCTTAAACATTTAATAAACGTGATACAATATAATGAATCTTCGATTTACGCAGATTCGTAGATACACGGTAATGTCCATATTTATATCCTTATCGTATTCTGAATTCTATATTCTATATATTTATACGAATGTACCGTCCTTCCACGAGAAGAAGGCACAGAGTGTTTACATCCCCACTCTTGCTGCAGTCCGCTGATTGGCTGTTACCGATCTTCGTCACAGTTTTCGACCAATGCCTATGAGCCAGCGGACTGCAACAGGAGTGGGGATGTAAACACGCTGTGCTTTCTTCTCGTGGAAGAATGGTACATATGCATAAGTATTAAGTAGTGTTTTTTTCATAATGGAATACATATAGATCTAATTAGCTCTTAATATTAAAAAAAAAAAAACAACATGACAATTTATACCATTCGATTATGTATCACATTGTTTGAAACGATATTAATCGATTACGTGATACGATTAAAAATTTAGCTTTCAAAATTAATCGCGATTAATGTTAGTCAATTACTGAAACTAATCGCTTACGACTAAATTTCTTTCAACCACAGATAATTATTTTCTAGACTTCTTAGATTACTATATTTGTCATTCGTATTGATTTGTATCTTTGTGAAATTTTAGTTTCGAAGTTTCGGGAGTATAATAACCAATGTAGTTTTGGATTTTGATAAAAAGCATGCGCCCTTTTTACTGAAGAATCATATTACGGACTTCGGTCGAAAATATGTCGAAACTGCCGTTGAAGAAATTTATGTAGCGGCGATATTGCATTTTGAACTTCAGGAGATGATTCGTATCTAGATGTGGTGGATGCATTATAGTGTCTTAAAGATCTAAGGATCTTTTCATTTGACCACTTCAATCCTTTAGCTTTTCTAGCTCTAATTAAAGCAGTTAGCTGAACTTCTCCAGATTTGCCACTTAAGTGTTTAATAAACCTGGCATATTTTTTTTTGAGTTTGGAAAGTTGAGCTGCAAGCACGGCCTTTTCTTTTTTCAGCTTTATAACTTCATTCTTCAATTTATTCACATTATTGCCAATTCTGTTGCCCTGGTTAGAATTTACTTTTTTTTCTAAATCAGAAGTTGAACATGACATTTTTATTGGACTGAAAGAATGTGTGTCTGAAAAACTAAAATCTGTGCTTGCAGTGTTGGATAAAGACTTTATAAAACAATTTTCAGAGAGAAACAAAGTAGATTTTTCTGCCAATAGATTATCACGAGTATTTTTCAATGTAGATGATTCCTGTGATGTATCACCATTTTTTGAAGTAGCTAATTCTATAGTCTTGTTTTTGTACATGGCAGGTATAAACTCCGCTTGTCTGGCATTATGTACAGGTAGCAACATTGTGTAATCGTGGTCTATTACCCTTAATTTCATAGGGCAGGTCTGTTCATGATCGACTCTGCTACCTTTGAAAGGTCTGCCCCTCTTTCTCAAATTTGTACACTTTTGATTTTCTTTCTCATCTGTTCTTGCGGTTGCAGGTGAAAATATTCTCCGAGATAGAAACGGGGAGGATGAATAACGGTGGTCATGAATTAAATTTTCACATAATGTGAAAGGCAATCTGTTTTTAGAACAGAAGCAAAACAATGTAGGAATAGCATCTTTCTTGAGTTGCCAGGCATCTCTGTTTTCCCACTGGTCAGGTGCAAAGTGGAACTGTAGACATATAAAGTATACATAGCAATTAATCTAATTCTATGTGAAAATATTATTTTAAAATGCTTGCTTTCCATAAAGGTTAAGCTCATGGAGAAATTGTGTTTAATTACCTCGCAAACATAACTGCTCGCGCCAAATTTATAATTCGGTCTATTAATTTGGTATATCCATTTTGCTCGTAACTCGGCATTCTTTGGAATCTTTTTCAAAATTTTTGGAAAACAAACTCCATTCCCTGAACGATTTGGACAATTCTCAGCACAACACAATGTCATTTTGACACAATATTTCTGATTTAGGTTTATAAGTATGCTTGGAGAGGCTATTATCAGATTTTAAATGATTGCTCGCCCTTCCACCGGAATAAATATAAATAATAGTATACGATACTGTTTCCTGGAGATTAGAGGACCGAAATTTCGAGAAACTTGGACGTTCTGCTCGCAGATGGCGGAGCAGTCTTATAAATAAATTTATTCAAAATTCGATAAATTCACGCAGTTCTTAATTTTGTTAACCTCATTTACCAGACGGCATTTTAAATCTAAAGAAACAAATTAAATAGTTGTAATTGAATTATAACGGTTTAGGATCTCGCGCCAAACGCAGTGGAATATAGGGGTTCACGCTCTTGTGTGCACGGATATCGTTGATGCGTATACACAAAAGCAATTAATAAATAAATTGAAGACTTGAACTCTGGAACTCAATTATATTTTAAATGGTAAATAAATTATTATATTTTATAAACACAATTATTTGTACATCTGATCTCTTTAAGGACTTGTTTACACTTAGCTTAATTAATATTTATTACAAAAAAACAAACGTTGTCGCGTGTAAAAGAGAATAACATCATATACATAGTATAAAATAACAATTTGAAATATGCAATTAAATTCAACGAACTTTGTCGGTGACGTGAAAGTTGACCAACTTTTAATAAAACCTTCAAAATATTGCACTCTATCATAGTCGATTTTTACATAAAAAAATAATTATAAATAATATCTAAACAACAAAACAACAGTAAAGAAACTTTGTTGTTCCCACATATTAACATTTATGCTTTAATAAATATTTGCTCCATGAATATAATTATAATGCCAACAGCTCCTGTATTCTTTTGACACACAAATCTGATCCTTCGCTAGCTTCTTTTGAAACCTGTAAATTGAAACCAAGAAATTCGATGTATTATGATACACTTTTAAAGTATTTATTTCGTTAAAAGTTTTCTTTTTACCGGTGATAAGTTAAGAAATCCGTGCGGTAAACCGGGTAATATATCAAGCGTGACTAATACATTAAGCAATCGAAGTTTTCTTGCAAACATGACGGAATCATCGAGACACGGATCAAGCTCCAATGTCTACAAAAAAAAGTTAAAGTATTCGATACCACGTATTATTTCGCGAATAAAGATTTCAGATTCAAGAATTTACCAGCATTTTAATGGGTGGTAATTGTGCTAAAACATTATCTGGTGCAAGGTAGGGACTCATAAACGGATCCTTGGGCACTGCAAATGTAAATTCTTCCAAAAGACTTTTTATATTTTCTACGTCAAGTTCTCTGGACTCTTTGTGCCTTCCTCTGAGAGACCAACCAAAAAATGACCACGGTTTGTCATTCTCCGAGATATTATTGTCCGCGCTGACAGTGCCATTTCCCATGTATGCTACTGCATTTGAACTAGAATTTCGATACAATTCTAAAAATTTATTAATATACTCTTGAGATTTTCCTTCTTTCGCTGGATGTTCTATTCCTATAAATCCAATTTCATCAAGAATTAATCAGGATTAACTAGGTTTAAATCTGTACAATTTGCCAGTATCCATTATTTACCATCAGTTTCTGTCAGGCTAACGGAATTCAACGTAGTATCGGATGGCAAGGATGCCAACTTATGCGCATCATTCGTTTCATCTCCGTTAGGACTTAGAGCTAATGCTATTAAATCGCTTTCGCTTACTTCCGCGAAAGATTCGGTATCCGATTTCGCGTATTCTCCAACATCCTGTTCCTTTTCTCTAAAAATCCCATAACATAAACATTGGTAATAAAACAGATAGGATTAAAGTGGTCGAATTTTCGCCTGAATCTCGTAACGCGCAATAGCTGCAAAATTTACCTTGTAGATTTTTTGTTATCCGACTCTACGTATGCTTTTAAACAACGTAAAAGGAATCCCATTGGTAATAGCGGATCTGTAAGACAAAGTAACCGCGATGGCGATAGTACAAAATCGACAAGCACCGGCATGTATGCCATAAATACACCATCCGGTTTTCTGATATTCAGTTCTATGCATTTCAAAGTAACCCCCAAATTTAAATTGGCCCCAGCAGAATCACCTATTAAAGAAAGATTAAATTTTGCAACATATTTTACGGTTGTACGTCTGTGTGTGTGGGTGTACGCGTGCATACACATACAGGGTGTTCGGCCAACCCTGGGAAAAATTTTAATGGGAGATTCTAGAGGCCAAAATAAGACGAAAATCAAGAATATTAATTTGTTGATGGAAGCTTCGTTAAAAAGTTATTAACGTTTAAAATTCCGCCCGTACTGAATTTTTTTCTCCCAAATGCGCAAGATTTCGGGGGTATGTCTTTTCATAAAAAATGATTGTAATTGATTCCCGCAATCGAAAATAACTTTTCAAAACGATTTGAAAGTTTTTTTTTTTTTGTCGAAAAATTTAGGCACCTAATTAGATTTTCGGTAAGGAATTTTTTTCTCGAAAGTGCGTAGGATTTCGGGGATATGGGTAATGACCAAAATGTGATTGTAATTGACACCCGCAACCGAAAATAATTTTTCCAGAACGATTTGAAATTTTTGAATTTAATTGTTAATAACTTTTTAACGAAGCCTCCATCAACAAATTGGTACTCTTTATTTTCGTCTTATTTTGGTCTCTAGTATCCCTCATTAAAATTTTTCCCAGGGGTGGCCGAACACCCTGTATATGTATTACGAATACGACGAAAAAAGACAAAGCTATGTTTCGCGTCTTACCAGCAAAAAGTATCTTTTGTATTGTACTCCCAAGCAAAGTACTTGCATGATTTAAAGCCCATGCGTATGCGTACAGCACTTCTTCTAGGGCACGTGGGAATGGAGCTTGAGGGGCTAGACTGTAATCTATGCTTAATATGGGTATACCAAGGTTTGTAGCCCAGGAGCTTAAATATGTTTCATGCGACAGTGATGTCTGCGCCACGAAACCGCCACCGTGACAATGAATTATCAGTTCATCGGACAATCCAAACAATTCTCCCCCTACTCCACCTGAACCAACCTGAGAAAAGCATATACTGCACAGGAGTGAAACCGATGTTTCGCAAAAATTTTTACTCGATTAAAGGAAACGCAAAGACGGAAATAATGATTGAGAACGTAACTTGTACCGATTATCTAACGTGACTAGTTTCTATAAATTTAATACTCCTTTACCATTCCCAGACGACGTTTGGAGCTTAATAATCTGACATGTATCGGCTTCTTTCCGATATGACTATTTGGTATCGGAATCGACACTGTTGTCCCATCTAACGCAGGAAGCGTCAGTTCTTCAGGTGGAATAGAGATTATTTGATTTATTGCCAGAGATGATAATGTTATATTTGGTAGCCTGCGTGCTATATCTAACAGACGCGATTTATAATAATCAAAATAATGGTAAAATGTTATTCATAACCCCTTCCCGTACTTTAACGAGTCTGGCTTGTGATGAAAATTTTGGCCCAAACATGAATGTCACAAGCTACAGGAGTTGGTCACGATTCTTATAATCTCTGTTACAAAGCAGTTTAACTAGTCTCTGTTACAAAGCAGTTTAACTAGTCTGTTTACCGCGCGTTGATTCCTGTACCGTTTGGGCTCGGATTTCGTCGAGTTAAATGCCACGGGAATGGGTTAACGATTAAATGTATTTGTTATTAATACGATTCAAAATATCTTACCAGTCTCGTTAAGAAACCAAAAGGCTTGACAAAACGATATATCGGCACGTCGAGATATGTCTACGATACGACGTGCCCTTACCTCGGGATCTATCATGTATTTAACAGAATTAGTGCATCGTGATAGCAATGTTCCGTTAGCGTAAAATGCTTCGCTAAATGTAGCCATACAAACCATGATAGTTTTCAAAATAGGTTTTAAGTTGTCGTGAAACTACAATCAATGAACTTTATTAGAAATTGTTGAAAATTAGTTATAACAGTATGTACAGCAAGTCCTTGAGTTATGCAGATTCGTAAATACGCGGTTGTGTTCTCGCCATTATACATATTTTATGCATATGTGCGAATCTAAATATTAAATAAACTTGTGTATCAAAAGTATATGATCTATATAATTTGAGGCGATAAGCTTTAAACCAATTTGCATAAATGGAGGACTTACTGTAAATTGTTTAATAGTACCTGAAATCCTAAACATCTTCCATAGAAACAATACTGATTAATAGTATCTACTTTATTTAAAATGTCATAGAGATTATGATCATTGCCTATAAAAAGAGATGGTTTTCCATCATTTATGTTCTCGCTCCACGAGTAAAGGGTCTGTAGGTGCTCCAAACAAGTGCATAAAGATGCTATCAATTGCGAACAAGCTTCTATTTCCCTAGAAATATTTGTATTTGTTAATATGAACGTATGTAATGTAGATCAAAAGATATAACAATCTATAGAGTAAATTAAACTGTGGTAATTACCTCATGTGATAACTTTTACGAAAAAATATTGAATCCTTCTGACAATATATTTGGTGACAAATTGCACGCGAGTGTATGATACATCTATCTATTAAGACTAGAAAACTTCTATATCCATTACCAGGCATTTCTACATCATAATCAAACATTGGAGCGATCCTAGTAACATCTTTATATAGCGGTTGTAATTGTTCTAAGTGATCCAATATTGCCATAAGCGCAGCCCTGATTCTAACACCATTTTCATCTTGGTGCGACATAAAGTATTCTGCATTAGCATGACATAATTCTCGTAATGCTCCCCATTGAAGGGGCTCATAATCTTCAAACGGTCTATCAAAGTCATCATTGAGAGACATCTGAGCTATATTTTGTTAACCGTTTACTAATAAATTTTTAACTAATTATTTAACGATATAGGGCAATTATAGAATCTGTAACATTAATTTTCATATTATTGTATTATTAATTGAGAAAAACAAGTGTTCTTGGTATCTCAAAACAGACTGGCAATATGGATACTGTTGGTTGCTAATACACATGCGACATATCATTCACAATAATCACTAAAAGAAATGTGTTGATAACTTGTAATTAACGTTAATTACCTTTAACATGCATGCTGTTATTTAATACGTATAAGGTTAACAAATTCGCGATATAGAAATCACTTCCTAACGATTCATAACTGTTAATTTAGGCTACATTATGTTCGTCCGTAACAAATTTCCCGTACATATTACAGACAACATTGCACGTTACTTTTTAATTTGCATTTGACATTTCTTGCAGATCTATCGTGGTCGCCATATTGTTTTTCTGATCGATATCATTATCTTACTAACAATACCACGCGCTATTTACAAATTAAATGCTATTGACATTCGCATGGTTTTGAATAATGAACTACGTATACGGCTGCCGTCAAACGATTTAAAGTGTAGTTATAACATCGAGTAAAAATTTTGAACGTTCGGTTTTCGATAAACGAGAATGGCAATTTTTCACAAAATTCAAATGAAAATTTAAAAATTTTCTAGTCATTGCCAGTCAATTTTAACGGTTTAATGACCCAATAAAATCAATTTCTCAAATGCTTGTAAACTCTTGTTTTTAATTGATAATAGTATCAACTGCTAACGATAATTATATTAATTAGAGGCAGTATCTGTATTAATGGGTAAATTATTTGATTATCGATATCAGTAAAAATACTTACCAAATACGACTGTACTCCTATGCTTTGTTATTTGCGGTGATCGTTAAAGAAGTGGATCAAGTGTAAATGCGACGGTTTGATGACATTACGTCATACTAACAAAAAGAAACGACAAATAACAATTACAGTTCTGTAATCGTTGCTGCTGCACGATAGACAACCAGCCGCGTTAAACGAATTAATCGTAAAGATACAATAGAGATGTTTATTGCTGACAAGAAGTAAGTTTCTAAAACATTTTATCATCAGCTATTTTGCATCTACATACACATATCTTTTATTTCTGTTACACGTAAACACCAAGTGTTAATGACTCATGAGAATACAAAGTAACGTTTTACGTATGTAGCGTGTTCTCGTTGAAAATAAATTTCTCTTCGCGAATAGCTTTCCCTTTGCATTCCTTAGTTTAGTTTTGAACAAGCACAAATTCCACTTTCATTTCCGTAAACGAAGCGAATAAAAAATATATGAAAATTCGTTCGAAATAATGGTAGTTTAATATTTAAAAAAAAAAAAAAGTTGAAAACCGATTTGTTCACGATCGCGGCGCACAACGAAACGTCTTGCCCGCCGCTGTAGACAGAAGTGACTGAGATGCAAGTGGACCTTTGTAATTTCTTTATTGATAAGTAAAATTACATATATCCACAAACACAATATACGTTCTTTCACGGAGTGTAATAATGTGATAAAATTTGTGAGTGGCGAGGAGAAATCCTTGTGATGGAGAAAGAGGGAGTCGGGGAATTCTTAGGTTTTTATCCTCCCGGTTTAGTAACTTGTCTACTCGTCGAAGAACGATCGCAGAAGCGTTCTATAGCAAACGTGTAGTTTCCGATCCTACGATTTAAAAACAACCGAAAGTCCGTTTAGCGTTCCCCCCACCCCCCGATCCGAGCTGCGTTTCGATTTCCGTCATTTTTTGCTTATCTCGATACCAGACGACCATTTATGAAATGTCAATCTTTATCTAATTCAGACGCCGATTAATTCCAATCTGTCGTTTCGCATAAAGCCCAGGATCCTCGTCAGCAGAATCCGGTCGCTGATAAACGACTAACATTTAATACATATGACTAGCATTTGTGTCGTGATATCGGAAAGAACTTTGATTTGGCGCGAAACCGTTATTTATCGAACGGCGACGAGCACTGGGGCATAAGATCGAAAACTATAAATTACAGCGCTGTATAGGCTTACATACACCAATGCCAGTATATTGCACATACAAATTGGGCTCTCTCGTAGTTTTTCTCGTCGGTGGCCTGCCGATCAACGTTCGTCAAAGACGCGTGATCGATCAGACTCGATATTAAATTACCGAAAGAACTGCAAAAATAAAGTTTAGTTCCGTTATTATTTTCCCATATTCGCCAACATCTAAAAATCCGAACCGCTAAATGCAAAGGACGTATTTATTTTCATTTTTGTTCCTTTCTTTCATTTCCTTGCTTCTCGCGTCTTTTCTTTTTTTTTTTTTCTTTCTTTTTAAGCTAAGTTAATTACCTCGGTAAATGTTTATTACCTCTTTACAAAAATCAATTCTTAAACTTATACAAGGGGTATGGCTCGACGCAAATTCACAGCATCTTGAAGTCAAAGAACGAGCGCGCACTAACACACACCAAACGAAACCGACCAAAACTGATATGCTTCGAAGAGACGTTTCATGTTAATACTGATACGACCATTTAGGTTATACCCGGGACGGTCGACCGAAATACGAACGTCTTCGATTTTGCTCGCGCGAGTCATGTGTTTACATCGTTGGCGCATCATGGGACGTTATATGTACTTCTGCGCGCGCGAATTTGTTTACCAACGCCGAATCTCTCGGCGGATTGCGCAAGCTCGAAATTAAGTTGGCAATCGTTACGGGCGCCGTTCTCATCATATTCCTTTTTGACAAATATAACGTATGATGAACAGCACATCCGCCACAAACGTAGGCCAATCGCTATGTCTGCTCGCGTGCTCTCTTTGTTTTTCTATTTTTTCTTTTTTCTTTTTTTTTTTTTGTTTACTCTATACAATAGATAAAAACCAGACAAAAAATCGGAACGATAGCGCGCCGAAAGAAAGAGACAGCATAATTTTCTTAGACGAGAAAGGCCCTCAACATCTGTGAATCCGTATCAAGTCAGATTTTATACGCGACGTGTTAATGTTTTCTCATTTCAACGACTATATGCTATAGGTACATAATGTATAGTTAATTTGATAGGTGTACATGTATATGTATATGTATATTGTTCATATATCACACACGCACACACACACGCGTACACGAACATATATATTTATATATAGATATTTATATTATCATTATTATTATTAACGCATTGATGCTATGCTTTTGTTGTATCCATAGACATATAGTTAATTGCTATCATTTTTTTTTTCTTCTTTTAATATATCTAAAATAATATTTTTAACACTCAGCGATGCGCGAATGTGTGTGCCTGTGCGTGTTCCATCGGCTCATTCCTTCCACCGGAGTTGCGTGAGACAAACAGTCTGTGTTTGCTAAACAGGAAGGCAGCTGCTTCACGTGCGCTTAGGAATCCAAGGATTATTGATTGTCCTCGGTTTGCGCATTCGCTTGATTTATTTTAGCAAAATTAGCATTAAACAAAGGAAACCTTATATAGGTAGTAGAGAGTACAACTTTCACAAACGATGAGCAATCTTATGCGTAACCATAAGAATCGAAAGCATCTTAAAACCCGTTGTATCAACTTAATACTTGCGCGACTAAAATTGTTTGTAATTGTACATAAATGTATGGTAAAACTGGTACAGAAATACCGTTGGTCGATATAAATGTATGCAGTCTAAAATGGAAATCGTGCAATATTCATTTGAAACAAGTGAAAGCTGTGCTTTCCCACGCGACCCTGGCTAAAGTGCGGCCTATTATCTTCTGACCATATACAAATATATAAGCATTAAACGTGTAATATATTATCGTCATCATATATATAATTAATATCCTAAGATAGTTATTGTATGAACCATCTTTTTCGATAAAAGAGAGTGAAATAATAAAACGAACGTTACGGAAAATTAAAAATGTTAAAGAATAAAAGAAAAATGGACAGAAATGCTTGCGTCAACAGTCGCCACTTATTCGACCTAAATCGAAGGTGCTAATGCCACTCAAAAAAACTCCTGTTAACTGTTCCTCTTATTCGGCAGCCTCGGCGTGACCCTTTCGATACGTTCGCTTTTCTAAAACGAACGACGCTCGGCCGAGTCGAACAAAGCTACTGAATATTTTCCGTGCATACATTCGGACAGCACCTCGATAAGATAGTGGACTTTCGTATGGAATGATAAAATATCTTTGCCTCTTCGTTAAACTTTAGATACGTTCATGATTTTTTTTCAATTTCTTAAGTATAAAGTTATATAATCTAAGTAGACGTTTAAGTACTGAAAAGGTCGCTGAAAAAATCAGGCAGTGGGAATCGAACGGAGATGAAAAACAGCTGCATCACGAAGGTGAACGTGCATCGACTGCCGTTCTGATATTTTAAGAGCGTTTTTTTTTTTTAGCATATACGTGCTCTCGCATAATGCTTAGTAATATCGTTTCATATTTATTTATTTTTTATTTTTTTTTTTTTTTTTTCTGCGTCGGATTATACCATTCTGCCGTCACCGTGCAAGCCCGCTACCGTCACTATCGTTTTTTTTATTTTCCACGTATTTATGTAAGCTGCGTAACCTTTATTGCCATTGACTATCTCCGAAAATATCAGAACTCAAAAATACAGCAAAGAGCGCCAACGGCACACAACACATAAACGAACGCGTCCGCTCGCGAGACGTACACCGTCGTTTTTCTCATGCGACGCATTCGTTATTTTCTGTTGCCGAAAACAACGAAATTCATTAACTGATCATAGTCCACAGCCTTCTGACCGAAGGGTATTATCGCGTAACCTTAGCGAGTAATAATTTTTTTTTTTTTCTTTATTATTGTGAGCGCTCCTTCCTGCGTTTTTCTTCTTATTTTATTTTTGTTTTCAATAACATGTAATGACAACGAAACGAAAACAACGTGTATGAGATACTTCCGAAGACAATTTGCATGTTTCCCATATGGCACATTGGCGTGTTGTTTCCCTTTCACATTGTCTCGTAGATAATCACGATGGTACACGAGTATCGTAGGTAAAAACTCGCATCAATTTCTATCTATCAGATGTAGTATGAACATTGCTTTATACATATCATAGAGCATAAAGTAATGGTTGTATTACGTCGTGAGCTATATAAAGAGACGTCGCATAATGATACTGTATTGCAATACCTATCTCCCTATGGACAGATTTTATTCCACGTATCACTAAGATGTAAATTTATATAAGTACCTTTGAATCTTCGGAAGAACCTCGAACCTGAAAGATATCTTACACTAACAAAATACTATGAGATTCTTGAAGAACATACGCGAGAACGGACAATTAAGACCAGTTTCAAATAAAACTCTGTAGACCGAGGTGATTCGATTATTCTTTGACCTCGAAGTATTTATATGTAGGATTTTCATATCCGTTAATTTGCATATTTGCAACGTGTCGCTCCTCCGGTGTAGCCGCTTGATCAACTTCGATGAAACCCTGTCAAAGTAAAAATACGATCGACGATTATTAACCTGAAAAAATTCACGAAATGTTGACTATACACAGGGAGCCAGGAAAGTTTTGATGCTTTGATTCTATATTTATTACAATACTTCAGGAATATTCTTTGTCATATTTCATAACAATTATTATCGAAGTCCGGTACGAACAATAAATAATGGTATCGAAGTGATAAAACGACTATTCACACCAGCGTCAGATTAAAATTTTTTTACAGGTCCGGGACCGAGAAACGATTGGACGCTTTCTCGATAAGTGAAGCGGGAGATAACGTAATTTGTAAATATTTTTAAATGAAATAGAGCTATCTTTAAAAACGGCCATGTCCAAATTTTTAACAAACTTTTTCAATATTTTAAGATTCGTTGAGAAAAACATTTCACTTTGTAATTACTTTTTAAAATGTAGCCATTTCAATTTATTGGCGAAGCGATAGAAGTTATGACTACAGATAATGCTATATAATTACCAATGACTCATCAAGCAAACGTTCTTACTACAAGCCTCTATTTATGGACGTTTCGATTCGTCATTTGGGTCATACGTACACTCTTAAAATATATAATGATGCAAAATGTCAAACTGAATCGTGGATTGTATGGATTTATGGCCCATGCTATATAATATTGTGCATGGCATAAATGCATAAAATCCGTAGTTCATATATAACCTATAAAAATGAAACTATAACAATTACGATTTCATACAAATTCGTAACGATAGGCAAAATAGAACTTTAGAAGGAATATGGATTCTTTTACGGAAGTGTTCAGTTCAATGATACATTTACAAGCACAGTTCATAATAACATATCGAAATTTCATTAATAGACGACTGTCGGGTGGTAGAACATTTCAATAATAGAGGTTTATATACATTATGAAAGGTTCTACTGTATTTTGAAGTATTTTCTTTGAATTTATTTCAAATTTTATAATTAGGAATCGTTTGTTTTGTCATTCATCACAAATATTTTGTTGTTCTGCGGTTCCTTCGCGAATAAATTGTATACATATTTTTTCTTTTCTTTATAAGGTTATGTAGAATTTTTGTTGTGTAGTCACGAGTACATTATACGTTGATGATTTTTTTAGCTAACACAATTTTATAATTAGGAATGAAGCTTGTGTTATCTAAAAACATCATCGACGTATAATGTAGTCGTAACTACACAACAAAAATTCTACGTAACCTATAAAGAAAAGAAAAAATATGTATACAACTTATTAGCGAAGGAACCACAGAACAACAAAATAGTTATGATTAATGACAAGACAAATTATGAAATAGTTAAATCACATATAAGAAACATGTATAGATCAGGATAATATACAAAATGGCAAACATGTAAAACTATTTACGGATGTATGCGTGAAACTACTTCTATTGCATGGTTTGGTAAAGAAAAAAACACGTTGGGTCCCATTACTAAGAACATTTGGTATAGAAAATCCAAAAAGGAACGGAAAAGAAATTCGGGGACAAGGTTTGTTTTTATCGATCGATAGTCGAATAGATAATCGAAGTGCTTTGATTGTTTTATAATTGAATGATTAAAATTGAAATAATGGCCAAAACAAATAGGGAGAAAATTGTTGTACTCTGTATAATAGCTTATTTCGTACTGCTTCTATATAGCGAATCTATTTCAAATTTTCCTCGATTTAACAAATCGTATGCATCATAAAACTTTCCTAGTACTGTGTACATTTAGTTTTCACAATACCTGACTGTGGGGGCTTCTCGCACTGCGTCTTTTGAATACCGCTACACCAACTACCGCAGCAGCCATAAGTGCAATTCCAGCAAACGCAAGTGTAAAATAGACGGATCGACTCTCTCTGTGATATGCTTCCCTTCTCATGGAGTAACCCTATGAATATAGTAAGAACGATAGAGACATTCTCGAAAAAGATTTATTCCGCGGAATCATTTTTCAACGTATCTTTTAACGATTATCCTTACCGGTTCGGAGTGAGAAATATCATGAGTCATGCTGTGAGCTGCTCTAACGAGTCCTTCACTGTGCATCGCGGCTACTGCCGATGGTTGTTCTGGTTGTTGTTGTTGTTGTTGAGGCTCTTTGTTGTCGTTTATCGAGTCGTTTTCTTCCTGTTGCGCTTGCTCGGTACGTAATTCGCCGCGTTCCGCTTTACGTTGCTCCTTACGTGCCCTTTCAAGTTGCTTCTGATGCTCTTTTTCTAGAAATAAAATATTTTCTCCTTTTACCTCAAAGTTCGCCGTTCTCGTTCCGATCTATATATTAAGCTACATAATATACCGTCGACAGTATTGAATTTTCAAGTTACCTTGTTGTTTGCTGGTGACGTCAGCTTGATATTTGTCTAAAATAGCTGCTTCCGCTTCTCGTGTCATCGCTAGCAGCAGTCCAGGAGTCTCATCTTTGCTCCTGAGGGCCAAAACGTAATCATCCATAAGGCGGCCAATTTTTGCGCTTAAATCAGGATACCTAAATATAAGGAACGAAATCTTCCATGAATACTATTCTATATGTTAAGAGAGAGAAAAAAAAGAGTGAAATAAAACGTATTCCGCTCGAAAGTTCAAGATCTACAGCTTCGTATTCTGCGATCGACGTTGTGCTGTTCTGATCGACACATTACCGTTCTAACATCAAAAGGCTCTGATTGGTGATTCTATCGATCTCCGCCAAGTGCTCCAACGTTGCTGGTTTCTCGCGTTGGGCTTGTTCCAAGCTGCTATCCAGCAAGTGTTTATAATGAGCGATCGTGTGATGCCTGTCCTTGTGAAGAGCACGAAGCAGTTTCTGCAGACACTTCTGAATGCGATGCATCTAAATGGAGAACATAACGGTGCAATACATCACGAATCACCGACTGGGGGAATTTAATATGCAATATAGCGATCAGAATAATCGTTTACAGGTTTTATTACAGCCTTTGCTTGAGTTCTCTGTATTATTTCTAGGTTTGGGATGCAAACACGTTTTGCAAGCAAACTTACATTGGGAGGAGTCTCGTTCAGCGCAGCGGTATAACACGACATCGCTTCCTCGTTCCTCTGTTTAACAGCCTCCTGTAAGTGAACAAAGGTGGACATTGTACTTCATCGCGTAAACTCGTTAATCGAGTAACTGGCGCACCGGTACATTCACTGCTGATCACAAGTTTACTTATTTTCTCAATTTTATTCCATCGGATCACATACTTGCACTCTCTGTTGATGCATAGCACTCAACTGATGTTTTTCTGCGGCGCCACTTTCCTCCAGCGCGGCAACGGTCTCCTGGAATCGTGCGGTCATCCATCGTTTGAAGGCGTCGGCGGCTACCGGATCGTGAGCACGGATGTCCTGATACTTCTCCTCGAGATCACTCCAATCCTTCATCACCTGAAAACGTTGTAGCACAAAGATTTCGACACTGGTGTCCCGCGCGATAATAACCGTCTCTCGAAACACGATTCACGATTCTCTTATTCGAATTATAATCAAGGAAACAAAAATAATGATTTCTATCAATGGTTCGCGCGAGCGCGAGTATCAGTATCAGGTCAAGGCATAACGTGCAGATTTTGCGAACGACCGGGTTAGCTGAAACATTAAAATTGAAGTAAAATAATATATAACGTCGAAGGTTAGGTTAGGTTAGGTTAGGTTAGGTTTTTTTTAATTAACCCCTTCCCGTACTTTAACGAGTGTGACTCGTGATGAAGATTTTGGCCCAAACATGAATATCACGAGCCAGATTCGCGGACAGCAAATCACGATCGTGATTGAGTTTTAGTTTCTATCAGTACACCACAAGAGTTGATTACGATTCTTGTAATCTCTGTTACAAAGCTGTTTAGCATCAGTCTGGTCTGTTTACCGCGCGTTGTCGAGTTAAATGGCACGAGAAGGGGTTAATATTTAATGATGTGTAATGGTCGTTTACTGGGCAGTTCACCCTGCAAAACTGACCTGATACGTTTCGAGTGAACAAAACCAAGATACAATAACATTACCCACTTACTTTTGTCACTTTCTCCTTGTGCACCTCCTCGAGCCTCATTTGTGCCTGTTTGTAGCTCTGATGCTCGGAACGGGGATCAAAGTGTGTTAGATACGGATCTGGCGTGCTCTGCGACTGCGGCGATTGTTGCGTGCTGGTGCTAACTGGCAATGGCATCGCCGTTATGTCCTGTTTAGGTTTTTCCGTCGTTGAAATTGTCGTTGATAATCGACTGAACAAAATCAAACGCACCATAACGTCGCTCGTCCTAAATTACTAGACAATGCAACAAGCTAGACATGGCGCAATCTTTTGCAAGCTGATTAATATTATTAGCTTGTAAAACATCGCGTAGGATGTCTTGAATTTTCGATTATCCCGTTAACAAAAATAAGTCGTGTGTTTTATAGAATTGTTTAAGCGTTGTTCAGGACTCCGCTCGACTTGTGTTTTATTTGTTGCAGATTTACCTTGTCGTGGTGTCGTAATCGTCAAGGTACTCCTCGTCGCTCTCTTCGTCGTCAGGCTGGTCGCTGAGCACGTCCTCGGGGTCCGCGTCAGAGTCGTCTTCGTCGTCCGTGTCGGCGTCAAGGTCGTCCTCATCATCGAGATCGTCTTCGTCCTCGTCGAGTTCGTCGTTCATACCTTTCGGAATCGGCAAATCGATTGGCTGCTTGGGCTTCGCATTTTCTGCAAATCACAAGAGAAACGTGATTATTTTTTTTTTTTTTTTTTATTATACCAATTTCAATCTACCGCCAACGTTCTGTCCACATTTTTTTTTAACGCGCGAGTTTTACTCGATAATATTAATATTTTCACATTGCAATTTCAGAGGCGAGGCTGTTTTTGCCGAAAGTCACAGTAAGTAAGCAATATATTTTTTGAAAGAAATACAGTGTGCCAACGATGGGGAACGAACGTGATTGTGAAAATTTTAACGATTCAAATTTCAAGCGTGACTCGAAGCCACGTTTTCGATCTGTCTGTGCGAAACTTGGCTGCAAACGTCGAAGGAAAGTTTCCGTTTGCGCTGGTATTAATGCCAAACGGATAGAGTGTGGCATCGCGTTCAATTTCATTGCACGATCCGCGGAAATATTACATTATTCATGGAACAACCTACTGGTGCACTTAATTCCTGGAAATATTGTGACTAGTTGAAGACAAAGAATGGTACTGAGAAGGAAGAGCTGCCAAATTGGGCATTTAAATAAAATTATTATTATCATATTGTAATAACAAATCTCGTGTACTTTCGGCAACTCACAAAAAAATTCAGAATTTTCCAGCCCAGCACCTTACAACAATATTTTATTTAAATCTACAGTAAATTTTGCTTAAATTTTTGGATGAAAATAAATTCTTGCGTTTCAAAGTATAAACACACGAATTCTGCGTCCACCGGAAAATTCTGGTTATTAATGTTAACAATTTCTACCCATCAAAAATATTATTTTTTTTTTTTAAAAAAAAAAAAGGATGAAACGATGAAATGATTACAGGTACGGTAACTGAATTATTACATTATAAAAACGACGTTTTATTTGTTGCATTTAAAACCTACCTGCAAATTGGATACTGTCGTAGTTAATAAGGGAAACTGTAAATGGACAAAAGAGTCAGAGTTAACAAATGTTGGCATGACCGTCAGAGCAAATAAATTGTGATATACAATGGTAACCAAATCGAAAACTAAATCTAATTTTGCAGCTGCGGACCGGGGATTTATTAATGTTGCACAACATTATGTAGCGATTTTCTCTTGGCGTTTTGCATTCGTTTAAAAGTGAACAGAACTTTTCGGTAGTTCTATACGTAAGTAATGATATTTTTTATCGATGTAGACACAAGTAATGATGTAGTTATGAATGACATGATACAGGTAGATAAACATTCACGCAAACAATATTTTATTATACAACGCTTGTAATCTATGTATTGTATAAAAAAGTAAATTTTTTAAAACGTATCGAACAGATAATGTGTCAAAAACAGGTGGTTAAAAACTTTGCAGACTCGCGGTACTTGCCGAAGCGAGTAAAAAGTACTTGCTGAACAAAGGTTCTTAGATCGACCCTGTCGGAGTGAATAGCGCTTTTCTGCGTCGATAATGTAAATTACTTATCCGTGCTGGTTCATCGCTCCGGGGCACGAAAATAAAGGATTATCAAAGATTACACGGAAGTACAAAGAAACCTCTATTTTCTGAACCGTCGTTACCAAAACGTTCCACTGTTTCAAAATCTCGTTATCCAAAGAGAGAATAATTCCTGTAAAATATTCATTCTTCGAAGTATATCCTTGTAATCGTTAAAACTAATTTTGATCGCAGCTAACAGGCGTGAAAAAATTCCGTAATTCAAGAGAATTTGAAAAATGAAAAATAACAAATTTGCGTTTGTGGTTTTTTTATTGTACAGTTGATTTAAAAAGTATTTAAGTCGATAAAATTAGATGATTCACCCGTGTGTCTGTTCGTTACGTGCAAACAGTTTTAAAAGTACAAGCATAAGTTTCGAAGAGTAGGCGCTGTAGCCTATTTACTGTACCGATACTCTTTTGGCCGGAGGTTCGAACCTTATTGGAGCTTTTTCCGATGATAGGGTAAACGTAACAGTAATCAATACTGACCCAGTGACCGTCACTTCCCGCATTTTTAGTTAAATATTAAGCTCTAAGGTTAGCTTCGTCGAAGATATTATCCAGAGCCTTGATATGTTTATTAAAAATCTACTGAGAGTAGACGAATACTTTTACACCATACAAATTGAGCAGTAGATGTTTCAATAATATTTTCCTCGATACATACTAATTATTTCATTTTTTCTTTTCCAGAGAAGAATCGCAAAATGGCTGAAACTATGAGGCGACGTTGGCCAATTAAAAATTTGCCTGGAGTGGTCACAGGCAATAATCAGAAGGTCAGTGGTAGAAAATTTATACAGTTCCTCGCCAAAAAAAAATATTTGTTTTAGAGTACCTACTCCCCCGAGGTGGTCGAGTCAGGTGACTCACCCTGCGTCGAAAAAAAAATTCGGCCACCTAGTGTATGCAGAGCGGATCCTCGCAAGGGACGCAATAACTCGTCCCTTACCCGTCCTGAAAAACTCTAATTTGTCTCTGTTATGTTGAAGAGGACAGCCGTCTTGGCTAACTAGGTTCTCGAGATGTTCCATTCTCCGAGAATAGACACGCTGATGAGCCGACTTCTCGAGTTCTGCAAAGGCAGACAAAAGCTTCGCCTGGCGTATCCTCCCGGTGCTATCCTTTTATCTGGGTCACGCGGCGGTTGTGTTGGCAGTTTTTTTTTTTCTTCTTCTTCCTCAGAATATTAGTACGTCTATTGCGCGTATCGGAAACGCCCTTCGTCCGCCCCCACACCATCCCCCGTCGGCGAACGCTGACCGAAAGAAGTATCAAGATTTGATCGACGATACGTAAGGAACGGAAGCGGCCACGAGAGGCTTCCACACGTACGCTTTCAACGCTGAACAGAGGGGAGAAGCTTTGCTCGGTCATCTGTAGAAATCGACGCCCTGAAAACCGTACAGCAGGCGCAAAGCCTGGCTAGAGTAAAAATAACGTTGCTGACAAAATGTTACAGCGAGCTGCCTCGTAGACGCGTTTCTCTACTAGCACCAACAAACAGTGCGTAGACTCGAGCAAACAGGAACCAACGCCATCTGCGCCGTGGATCAAACTTTGGAGTCTGTGTGTTTGTGATTTGACTCTAACTCGTAGTGATTCAGTCTGATTCGGGCCAAATTTTGTTCAGTTGCTCCTTGGGTTCAGACAGAAAGTATTGTTCACTTAATTTTCTCTTCGAACAATTTGGCAAATTGTTATGTTGCTTTTATACTAAATATACTGGAAACATTATTTTTCGCTTAAAAACGTTACAGCTGAACTATTTCTAGCAGAATAATATCAAAGTAAATGTAAACAATTATTTTTATTTTTTTTTAAATTATTTTCTTAAATTTTGAATTCTTTTTTTCTACCCTATTTGATAGAGAACGGTTGACGTTCAAGTCGACGGTATTATTCGCTCGAAAATATTGTCTTTGTAGCTTTCAACCGAATTGGGAAAGAATCGATAGAACGGTGAAGCTTTCTAATTTCGAGACACGCCTAAGATACGCGCCACGCGTTTTCTTCAGCTAATTTTCCGAAACATTGGAGCAGAGCAAGGGGTCTGGCCGTTCCTTTGTCCCCAGCCCCGTGTTAGCAAAAGTTAGAGGAATAAACGGGGGAGCGTGCGTGGCGTCTGGTCGGGCCGAGGGTGGTCGTAACGCTGTCGGTGATTCATCGGTGATTCCTATTGATTCACAACTACGCAGAAACTCTATCGAATGTGCCGCGAACCGGCTGCCATAAGACCCTTCTTACAGACTGACAAGTGTATCGGGGTCGACTTTATTAGCTGCCCCCCTGCACACTGCAGAGAACTCTGACTATTCGAATAGTTTATTCCCATTGTAATATTAGCTGGAAAATAATCACAAATTGGTGACGAATTTTTTAATATTAATCCCTCCCCTTACAGTGGCGAGTGTGGCTCGTCACAAATTCATACATTTGTCAATCCTTTTATGAACAACTTTAGACAAAAAAAATTATTTGGAATGAAATCTTACATCAAGGGGTTAGGTTACCCCATAAGAGTATTTTAAATTTGATTAAAACCCATTATATCGCCGTAATAAAATTTCTTTCATATAAAAAACTATTCAGAATATAACAAAAATACAATTATCTACGTTGTGGCTGAGTCTGTGATAATAGCCAGGAAATAACGAGGGAAAGAAATACTAGAAATGTAGAAAATTTGTATGGATTGGAAGCGAGTAGGAGGGATTTAAATATCGATAAATAAGTAAGATAGGGTGTTACGGGGTAGTAGATTGAAAAGAAAAGATACAGAGCGCAGGAACGAGCAGCAAAGCCATAGTGTTTCGTTGCGCAGCCGTCGAGAACGTCGACGGGTCGTTATTGATTGCACGAGCGAGCAAGACAGAAGGCAGCTAGGGCGAAGCTGGGCAAAAGCGAGGAGAGTAGAATCGAAATATAACCACTTTCTTAATGCGACCCCCTCCGGTCTTCGAGTATTCGCGACAGTCGTTTGAAAGTAGCGCAAAACGAGAGGAGCAGAACATTTTTATTCGTAAACCGAACAAGGAATTAATAAGCGACGAATACGTTTATTCAAATATCCCAGGTCCCTTTCGTCGTTCATCCGTTTCTTCCGGCGATTTCGAAGTCGATAATCCCCCCTTTAAAGGGATCGCCTCGTCTCTCGATCGAAAGGAATTTTTTGGAAGTTTAACAAAATTATTTCTTAAACATTTATAGAGTAAGAGACGGGAAATTTATTTTACGTATAATTTTATTAACGTTGTGCCGGACCGATCCGTCGCAAATTTAGTCCTGACCCAATCCCAGGCCTAAAAAGTTTATGAAAGAACGTTCGAACATCGGTTGGAATAAAGTAAAATAAAATAAAATAAAATAAAATATTCTCGTAACATAAAATACGAAGTACCTCGTGAGATATTACATTTTTAATAATCGTGCCTCGATACTTTTATACACAGAATGATGAAAGGAATCGAGTTATGTAAAAAGTTGACTGATTTCGTTCGAGGAACACTTGCAAGAGTTCATTATGTAAAATAAGTACCCGGAATTTTTGTAAATAAAACTCAAATTGCTTACTTAATTACCCAAATTTATTTTGTCGTCTTCAAAGTAGGCCCCATCAGAAGCAATGCACATACGCTAACGCTTCTCCCAGTCTCCAAAATACTTCTTAAACGCTGAAGAAGGTATCGCTTTCAGCTCCTTCTGCGAATTTTCTTTTATGGCCTCTATCGACTCAAAATGCCTTCCCCGAAGGGGTAATTTGAGTTTCGGAAATAAGAAGAAGTCACAGGGGGCCATATCTGGTGAATACGGTGCTTGTTCGATCACATTTGTTG